ATGTGGAGTAGGAAAGCAGCGGTAGCTTTACAATGGAGGTTCCAGTGCCAGCAAGCTGGGACGGAAGAACTGCTGATAATTAAGTGCAAATAAAACAAGAGGGAAAGGCCCTGAGCCACCCTCTGACCTGGGGTGAGAGCTCAAGCCAGTGAGGGGGCTGGGACTGGAGTATCCTATATGCATGTTAATAAATTGGGAACTCTGTATAAATGGGTATTTTGCAGCTTGAGCTCTGCAACAAGCCGGCAGTTCCCTTATTCTTTCTTAAGGACAAGGTGAGACATCAGGGAAAGAAATAACACCATCATCATGTATTTGAGTATGTGATGGGTGAACTGTTGCCTGTAACATTCCTATTGCAAAAGGGGAAGGCAAAAAAAAAAGTAGCTGTGGTTCCATAATAGAAATTTATCGTTTAACAGTTAGTCTTCACCCAGGATTTCCTATTTCCTTCTTTAGAGGCAGAAAGGATGCGTTGCGTAAATGCTGTACAATACATGTGCCTGAAAATCCTAAGATGTGCTAAAATAAGTGATGGGCAATACTGGCATTCCTTCCAGCCTGACAAGTTTATTTTGTTAGCTCAGTGGAGGTCAGACATGGCAATATTACTTCCTTTGCTCTAAAATCAAGAGAACAAGTTTTTTTCAGTTTGGCTTGTATTTGTTGTTTTTTTTTTTAACAAGAAGGAAATCATCAGATATTTAGGTGTCCTTTAGGAGTGTGAGAAATTTCTTTCCCAAGTATTGCATTAAAGAGCAGTTAATTCCTGTTTAATCCCTTGGTTTAGGGGAGCTATGTATATATCTGAGAAGAAAGAGACTGCTGTGTTTTGCACTCACCTGCTTGGCCAGGTGATCACTGATAGTTGAATAAATAACTAGGAGATTTTTAAAAGTTATTTAATACCTCCAGTGCCTTCTGGCTATAAAAAATGAGTATAGTTAGAGAAAACTTTAAGGGTACTAAAAAAACCACATCTAATTTACTACCAACCCTGTCTGCCTAATGGATGAATTCTTTGCTGGGCAAGGTAGAAATTGGGACCGTGCAAGAGGTGCACATCAGAATGACTTGTCCCCTCAATTTACTGTGGATGACTGACTTGGATTGCCAGATCACTCACTGTGCCAGGTATTAAGCTTTCCTTTCTTTCTGGAAGGGTTCTATATGCTTTTAACCAAAGAGGAATTATGAAGCCTAAGTACAGTACAGTACAGTTCAATGTTACACATATCTTAATGACTTCTAGCATTTTCTTTTGGGAGGATACATGATAGAAAGGGCTTCCTAGCAATACTAATAAACCCTTCAATACAAGGAGTTTTAAAAACAAGAAAGCAGTTGTTTATTGATCAGCATAGAGTGATAGTGACTAAGAAAGTTTTAAACCAATTTCTAGCCTGTTCATTGTGTAATATAATCTGATGGTCATATATGATTCATATCTTTCACATTTTTCTTGCTTGTCTCTTTTATATCCAAAACCATGTGATTAGGTATACACAGGTTTAAAACCTCTCACACACTTTTCATTTATTTTATTAAAGTAATCTGTGCTTGTGTGTATAATATAAGCACATCAGTTTATTACCTTACAACACAAACAATTCATTATTTCATAAATTATTTTAATTGAAACAGAATCCTTGTGCGCTAAGTGATTGCAGTAGGACTCAGTAGTCTCACATCTAGTTTGAGGGTTTGTGAATTATAGTTGTTGAATAGGTGGTTTAAATCTGTTTTTAATTTATACAACTCACGTCTTTCACCTTGCATAGATGAGTTGACTGAGGTGCATGAAGTTGATGAGTTGACAAAAGTGCATGAAGTTAGGGTAAGGTGTTTGGGATACTGTTTTTAATGATTGTGGGGTGAAATGGATAATGTGCTTCACTCATCTGCAGGAGATCTTTTTAAAATTAGAAGATTTTGATGTTTTTTTCAAAAGCCTAGATTTCATACTAGTTAGCTTTGAGCTCTTCATCCCAGATGCAGCTGTTGGTCAGTGCTGCACCTGTAAAACTATAAAGCACTATTGGGTAAGAGAGGTAATGCACAGCTACAATTATTATCAACCATGTGAAATTTTGAAACATGATGATCAAATGAAATTGGTATTTGGTTTCTGATTTCTGAAGCTTCTTTCTCCCTCATTCCCAGCTAATGTTCTTAAAATATTTGTTTCTCCTCGGTTTCTCTGTATGAGTGGATAGTATTTTTTTGTACAGATAAAAGACTTGCTTTAACTTGTGGAGCAGCAGTTGTACTTGCTGAGGAAGAAAAGGAAAGAAATGCAGTAGGTTTCAGGGTCCCTGCTGAATACTGCTTTTCCATATGATCTGTCAACGCAACTAGTGGGAGTGTGAATATAAGAAAGTTACTTCAGCTTTTTCAGTATTACTGTGCTTCTGTGACTTGCAAGTCAGTTACAAACCCTGAAATGAGGAAGGGTTTTTATGGTGGAAAATAAAGCATGTTTGGTGCCACTTTGACAACCACCACTTGTACACAAAGGAGCATTTGCCATTGAGATTACAAGTACAGCTGTTAACATAATGAACTGAACATAGCAGAAAACTTTACCAGCAGCTTTGTGAATTTAGAGTAACTTCTTTACACTTAAAAATGTGTGTGTGTTTATTTTTTTTATTTATACTTATATTCTGTAAGTGTAAATAAAGAGATAACTTATGCATGCAAGCTGAGAAACTGTGCATGCTGTCAGGGGAGAGAGCCTCAACTTGGCAGAGGTACTTACACATGCTTTTGTTGCAGGTTGTCTTTTGGGAAGGGCAATGATGGGCACTTCCATGTTTCCCTACACTATTTCTAGGCAGTCTCCAGGCCATGGCAGTTTGTCTCAAAACCCCTGCAGGTGATGTTTGCCTCAGTTCTCGCAGAGGCAACTGCACCATCTACTTTGCTCTCAGCCTGTTGTGCACTGCTCTGTGCGCTGGCTGGGTCTTCAAGGAGGGTGACAGCAGCATTCAGTGTTTCCGCAGCAGTGGCCAACTGCAGCTTGCTCAAGCTGCTGAAGACTTCCTTGTGGAAGTGGCAGCAAAGTTTCCAGTAGCAGCTGTGCTCCCAGTCTTGGGGAGCTGCTGAAAACTGCCCAGTCACTGCTGTGTTATGGAGATGATGCGAGTTTTGGCAGACTGCACTGATTTCGGAAGTGGCTTCTCTTCCTTCCGGTCTGTGGTATTTGGTGTTACCCTTGAATCAGTATTTTGGGCTACATGCATGATGTGCTGGAGGGTCTTTTCTGTAGATGTCTGTACTTGTCTCGCTACAAGTCTCTGCATACTGTAGTGGGGGGAGGTCAAAATGGTGCAGAATTAAACCCCTGTGATTTTTTTCCTGGTCCACTGGCTTGCTTGTCTGTCTGTCTGCCTCCCCGACCTTTCCAGCTCCCTTGCATCCTGCCTCCTCATTCCCACAAATACAGATTTGGCATTCGTATTTGAGAATCTGTTATAACATTGGCTGGGCTCAAAATGAGCCATGGTGAAATCTGCAGATCTGCCTCTGGCTATATACAGTGTGAAAGCAGGGTGCTTACCTGGCTGCAGGCCAGTTACAGCTCATCTTCTGGCTTTGGTGGAAGCTGCAGAAGGTATTTGATCTCCTAGCTACAAAACCCACAGATATGTTGCTTTCCCATTTATTCTATGCTTAGAAAAGATCTTATAAACTGGCAAATAAAAATTCTTCAGCATTCTAGAGATTAATGGATTCAGGCTGTCTTTTCAAGCCTGATCTACTTCAGATTGCTGTTGAAGTGGTCAGGGTGATTGAAGCCCCCAAGTGACTTCAGTTTGAAGCTGAGCTCACCTCACCTAGCACATTCTCCCATATTCTGTTATGCTCTGAACAAGCTCAAAAACAATGGATGGCAGTGCCCCGGGACCTGTGGTTGAGTACCTGTGGCAAATTTCTGAGCTCTGGTATGGTCCCATGCTGCTGAAACAGTGCGAAAGCATCAGGGAAATACTTGATTTCCAGCGCCTGTGGGATGTTATCCTTTCTGCTTTTGTTAGAGTAATTTACGTAGCTTCCTGTCTTTTCTGCCTTTCTGCTGAACTTGCTGTGTTCTTCAGCAGACCCATTTAAAAGTCCGCTGGGGATGAATCAACCTTAGTAGCGTTTCATGCATGCCTGGAAAAAGGAGTGTCCTGCTCTGGAGAGTTACAAGGCTTAAATGCCCTGCAAGGCTGACCATTTATCTGGTTGGAATGATGAAGTGAAATTCATTTGAGCCCTGTGTAGAGGCACAGTCTTAACTTGACTTAAACCATCAGTCCACCACACCTTTAAGCTTCCATGCCTCAGCAGCTCATTCTCACCCTCAAGCAGCACAGGTGTGATGAGCTGGATCAAGGAACGGTTTGGCCACACACCAGGTAGTTATGTGTGGGCCAAGTAAGTTGACCACTGAAACACCATTTTATCTGGGGAGCTGCATGCCAGCCAGTGGCAGCCCCTGACCTCAAGTCTAGGGAGATTTCAGCATAGTCAAATCGGCTTTCCACAGGAGCAACTGAGCAATTTATAGCCTCGTGCACATACTCATGGCCATTACTTTGGTCTCTCAAGATGTCACTTGTGTGGTTTTTTTTCTCAACTTTCGGTTTTGGTTGTTTAATTCTGGAACAGCAGACAGCAAAAGACTGGTGGTTCTGCTGGTGAAATGCTTTATTGTTGCTATGGGAATAGTCGTTGCACTGCTGCAGAGCTGGAGTAACTCCTGGCCATCTGACAGGAGATCTGTTACGTCATGTTTGTGGGTACTGAGAAATGCGTTGGATTCTCAGGGTTTAAGGAATGTAACTTAAAGCTTTCTTCCATGACTACAATTGGAGGACAAAGTAGATATAAGCGTTACCTCTGTAACAGGTGTACTGTTTTGCTTGTGTTATATCAGCTTTTAAAGAGTATCTTGAAATGTAAATACAAGTCAGAGCTTCATACTAACTTTAAACAATGTGTTTTGGTTTCAGCTCCCAGGAAGATGAGAGGCCTATGTCACCCTTCTACGTGAGGTATTTACTCAGCTAATTTAATTTATTTTTCTGGGTGGGATTGACTTGTTACTGGAATTAAATGTGGGGAGTGAGGCCAGAAATGCTCAACAGACTGTAATCAAACAGAAGATCCATGTGAAGTTTGTAATTATTGCTCGGCCAGTAGGATGAATGAGTCTTCAGAGATACAAACTCTGTTGCAATTTTTTGTATTTAGAGACGAGGTTCAGGGTTTAATGCCAGTCTTGTAAATTATTAATTAGAAGATAGACATCCATTTCCTCTTTTCTTCAGTTTATTACATAGCTTAGATGCCCGTCATAAGTAGTTTATAATCTGCGGGCACAGGAGAGATTTTTACCACAAGCTTTAGGGAACTAGCAGCATGTGCTGCTGAGAAAGAAACCAGGAACCAGATGATGAGTCAGCAGCTCGTACAGCAGCTGCTCCTCTGCTGCAGCCCAGAAAGGCAGGGGAGTTGGAAGTAGATGATCTTAAGGTCCTTTCCGACTCAAGCCATTCTGTGATTCCATGAGAGTGTCTGGGTCCCAAGCACGCCTTTTCCGGAGGGAATGGCACTTGCGCTGCATTTGAAGAAACGACGTTTCTTGTTTTGCCAACTGGAGGGCAAAGTCACTGCCTGTAAAAGTGGCCTAATTCTGTTGACATCAGTGAAAAGTTTGCTCTGCTTGCCTTGGTAGCAGGCTCAATTCCAGTGCTTTCATTTATACTCAGTGGAAGAACAGGAGCCAGGGCAATTAACAGCGAAGGGCTGCAGAGGAGGAAGCGACAGATATTATAATTGAGTTCTTTGATCTCTGCAGAGTTTAAACAAATAAAAAGAAATCCCTGTGGTGCTTTTTGTGAGAGCAGTGATATTTGGAATTTTTACAGTGATCTCTGAAACATCTTAATTCTCTTGCATATTTTCCTGTTTATCTTTGTAGTTTGGGTTCTTTTTTAGAGAATTTTTCTAGCATGAAGTACAGAAAGCGTGTTTCATGCATACTCTTAGTATGGAGGCTTCCATTAAAACAGTGCAGAACTGTCAGTTAGTGAATTAACCTGGTTGTGTGGCCTTGTCTACCTTCCTGTTCATGCATCATCATTCCCTGCAGTGTATTTGTAAGGATATTGCCTAGTCTGTGCTTCAAAAGCTCGAAACTGTCGAGGGAGGTTCTGCCTTTTGCGAGATTATTTTGTAGGTGCATAAATTCCCCTGTCACAAGTTTTCTTTAGTTTTAATCATCAATCCTGTCTTGCCATTGAAAATAGTCCCTCTCTTTCTTTCTGGCTAAATGTGACCTTCAGATGATTGTAGGCTTTCATTATGTTTCCATCTGTCATACCGCTTAAAACTGTCCCAAACCCTTTTCTGGGTCAGGAAAATGATCCAGGAAAGAGATTGTCTTTAGCTGACTTTGTCAGGCTTGCTAAGGAGATAGCGAGCAAGGAGTGGACCTGAGGAAACTGGTATCAAAACAGGACATTTCTGTGAGAGAGGGAGCAGGTTTGGAAATTTTAAATGGGGATGTGGGCGTATTAGGATGGGGAGCAAAGAATTAGTGTGTCCATTGGAATGAAGGGATGCATTTCCAGGGGAATGTATCCTGCAAATAGGAAAGGAAGAGTCAGGAATAAATACGTAGTTGGATAGTGAAGAAATGGCTAGCAGGAGCAGAGAGGAAGCAGCATACCTTGCAGCATAAGGCTTCATGCCAAGCTTGTGTCTTGTACATAACATTGCTAAGACACAATTATTTGTAAATAAAGCTAACAGCTTTTAAGTCTTTCTGCTATTTATCACACATCAGAAATGTGTGCTCCTGAGGTCAGTTGCCAAGTGCAGTTAATTTGGCAGGAGAGCTGGTGCAGGCTGGGCAATTCATGGTGCTTCAACAACTGAGAACTTGAGTGGGTGGCCAGATTTTTCTGTCCTAGCTTTGAATGTTCTAATTGTTGCCCCAGAGCTGTGCATGACATATGTAGGACCTGCGTTTCACACCATGAAAAGGAAGGAGAGATTGTCTGCTTTAGCTGTCTGATGGTCAAATCTATTTGTATTGCTACCAGCTACACTTACATAGCTTGAAATGCCGTTCAAGTAATCCTTCAAGTGAATCATGTATTGTGTATGTACAGAGCAGACGCTACTGCATTTATACAGTAGTTCCAAACAGATAATTACGCAACAAGTTAATTAAATGGGAACAAGAGCTCTTTAGCTTCCAAACATTGCATAATACTTGGCTTTTGCCAGACTGAAGGAGCATTGTGTCCCTTTGTAAACGAGTTTTGGTAGGATCAAACCAGACTTAATTCTTCAGTGCTGTACCATGTCTGCTAGCAATGGAGATGTTTCCCTTGATGTTATTTTTAAAAATAAGGCAAATGCTTGAGGCCTTAGCTTTAAGTCAGAACTGTCAGAATGCCACCAACACACTATTTCTTTAAAGGACACTGATGTAGGGTTGTGGATTTGTTTGATTGATTGTTGTTTTTTTTTCCTTTGGACATTGGGAAGTCATGACCAAGCATTAATCACCACTGCTGCTCTGTAAGGGAATAAGCAGCCATTAATAGTATGAGAGTAAGTAGTAAATGAGGCAAAATGTGACAGGTTTTTCAAGAGAGGTGATACCAATAAAACCATATTATTTTTCATAAGACTTTCCAGAGACAAAGAAAAGCAATATATCTAGTCTGTCTGATGTCAGCAAAATGGTTTGTATCATGCCAGTTGTATGGAGAAAATGAGCATTAGTACTAGAGCTTAAAGATGGGTAGGGAGGGGATAAGACCTGTAGGTATTGCTGGTAGGAGAGGGAGGAGATTGCTGGTAGAGCTCCTTAAGTGTCATAGGCTTTTTTTATTTAATGGCCACTGGCATAATAGCATAGAGTCATGCTCATGATCTGGGCTTATAGCAGAAATTTAGGAGTGGTTGGGATGGGAATGTCCACTGGGAGAAAATACGTGATAGTGAGATATGATACAGAATGACTGAGATTGACATAGAGATATGTAAAGATAAGCATGAAATATAAGTTATAGGATGAAAAGTGATAACATGGGTGATAAAGTCATGTATCTCAGGACTAATAATGACAGTCCATTACATGAAAGGGGAGTTCCTCACATTTAGAAATGCCAGGGAAAGAAAGGACCTGGGCATACTTGTTCATGGAGGGATGGACAGGGGAAGCATGGGATAAAAATACTCAAGTTGAAGTAATCGCATGACAGTAGATATACAAAGTGAAATATTTTCAGTATAGAGGAAGTGTGCATGCCCTTGTACAAGAGTCAGGTGAGGCCTCATACACTTCAGTAACTCATGTCTCTGGGGCATTAGATTTGTGAAGGTGATTAAAGAAGTGTGGGCAGACCTTGTTACAAAGTAGAGAAAAGAGCAGGGAAAGCTTATTTAATGTTAGAGATGAACCGGAGTACACATATTCCACTGGGGGTTTAGGCAGAGAAGAGTTGTTTATGTTAAGTCACAGTACTGATGCAAGAAAAAATGTGGGCAAACACACTATGAAAAAGCTCAGACAGAAACTAGAAATTTTGTAGCTGGAGCCTTCTTTTGTTAGGCATTGCAAGGTTGAGGTGAGCTTGACCAGTTGATGAGATCTGGGGTTTTAAATCCACCTACAGCTGACCAGGATTATTCTGTCCTCTCTGTACTCCTTGGTTAAGACAATTTGTTGACTCAGCTGTGCTCCATAGCAGGCATGGAGGTTTCTGCACTGTTCAAAGAAGAGGAAAACCTTGCTGGGTGATTAATTGTTCCAGGGAGTCATGCCTGAAGGACATTTACATTCCAAAACCTTTGTAACAAAACTTGGTGGTAAAGGGAGTTAAGACTGCTAAAAAATGTATAATGGTGCTCATTGTATAATTCCATAATAAAACTGTGATGCCAGCTGTACTGAGTAATCAGTACTGAGAAACAGTGCTCAGTTTCAGGTAATGAAGCAGCATCTGGCAACAGCACTTCTCTGTAAGTACACTTCTCAACATGTGCAATGAGTTCTTAGAAGACAGGGAACCTACAGACGTGCTTTATGATGGCGTATATGCCTCAGATTTGACACATTAGTCACGTAGATGGTTTCAGGAGTTTCTTGATGAGTACATCCTGACATAAACCAGAATGATATTACAGAGATAAAAAGTCAAAAGCTTTGTAGTGTGGAATTTCCTTGTTAACATGCAGAGGATTAAACTGAAACTGGGACGAGAGCTGGCATCACAAGCAGTGCCAAAAATTGCCTCAGATACCCATGAGTGCAGGGCAAAGCGTTTTACAGTTTTGTTTGTTTTCATACTTCTTTTCCTTTAAGTACTAATATCTTGTTGGCAGTATCCAGTATAGCCAACTGGTTCTCCTTTGAATAATTGTTATTTGAGACAACTCTCTTTATATAATACAAGTCAGGTATTCTTAGCCTGCAGAATATTGTGTAAGATGGTTTACCCTGTTTGTTCTCAGGTCACTTTTCTGAAGAAACTGAAAAATATTGTCCAAATTTCACACGTGCCACCTTCCTGAACACCTCCTCCTCGGTGGCACATGCCGTAAGAGGTCCTAAGGCCCACAAGGGGTGCTGCGTCCTTTTACATGTCATGATTATGTTGTGTGATGCATGTTAATGTCTTTCATCACTTCAGCACTGGTTGAAAATAAACACCAGGCTGCAGCATGCCCCTGCTTGCAGTGTCCAGCTACTGAGTGCGTCTGAGATCCCCTGAGGCATATTTCTCTCCTCTTTTGAGGAACCTCCGTAGACACTGCCATCCAAATTCACCAAGCTAAATCAGGTGATGTGTATGAATCCCCTTCAGGATTGTCTCTGCTCCAAGCAGTAGGTGTCAGCATGCACCCATCACAAAGGGTGATGTCAGTGCAAGTCAAAAACAGGAGCCCCGAAGAAAACAAGACAGATGCTTTTAGTGGGGTTAATTTTCTGCATAAATAATTTAAAGCAAGGATAGTTGGATCTGAACTTGTGAAAGCATAAGGGTGCTAGAAAACATTGAACGCGTGTCCTCTGTGTGATGAAACATCCCAAAAAATAAAAGCACATCTCTATATTTTTTAATTCATTATTTTTGTGTGTTATATACAGACACAGTCCTTCTCTTTGGGGAATGTGTGTCAAATGAAGTAGTTGTCGTAAAATAGATTCCATGTGAGTCTGCAGTATTGCATGTCACAGTGGGCAAGTTATGGACAGTAAACAATGTTTAAACTATATAAATACCTATGGAAAAGGAATTTCCTAGGTCATGGGTTGGAATAATATATTTGGGAGGACTTCAGAAATTTCCCATGTGAAATGTCAAAGCCATTTAAACATCCTCTACTTTACTGGAATGGCAAAATGGTTTAAAGTTTCTGCATCTGTTGAGGCTTTCTTACTGTTATGCTTGGCTTAAAAAAAAAAAAAAGAAAACAGAAAACAAGAACAGGAACAGGAAAAAAAGTTGGTTTTCTTCCTCAATAAAGCAGATGGATAGTAAATAAATCTTGGCAATGAGTGACCTTAGTTCCATATTGCAACTATGTCTTATCATTTAGGCCATTACATATGGTCAGGAATTAATTCATTGACTTCATAAATTGAAACCCAATTTGGGAAAATTTTATGCCACTGAGTCAGTTTACTCTGATTGATGTTTTTACTTTGCTTTTGTAATAGATGGATGCTGATACATTTTGCTCATTAGTACCTTAAGTGAAAAATACAACAGGAGAGGGAGTTTGATATGCAGCTCAGTTATTTGCCTGCTGACACAAGATGCCCAGTGCAGAGCAAACAGGGTGCAGGTATTGCATGAGATAGTTCTTACTCTGGTGGGTATTTTTTAAAGTTAGAGGGGGCAGAGGATATTTAATATGTGTAAAGGTGATGGAAAATACCACCTTCCCATACTTGAGGTTGAAACAGAATGGGAGAAGAGACTGTGCAATAAGAGTTTACCTTACGTGTGAAGCAAGGCATCTAGAGCTGATGGGGCACCTCTGAAAGTGAGCAGAAGACTTCAGCAAACAAGTTAGACAACACTGGGAAGTGCTAGAGGTCAGACTTCACAATGTGAAGGTCTTAAGAAGCCAGTTCAAAAGTTTATAGCGCTTGAAACAGCTGTGTGCCTTGATGCAGGTTTTGTGGCTGCCTCTCTGAAAGTAAAAGTCCCCAGCACTGGGAAACTCTCCTGCTGCTTCTTGTCACCCAGGAAGAACCTTTAATTTCTGTTGAACGTTGCTGTTTCTCAGCATGCTCTGCAGCACTGCATAATTTAATAAAGATAATGTGGCTGTGGAGATAATTGACCATACGTATCAGTGAAATGAGCAGGCCGTGAGGGGAAAATAATTAACCAAAACAGATCATGAGTTCCCATTGTCCGGATGATTTACTGAGCAAAGGAGCCCTTCCAAGGCAGCTGCCTGCACAAGCAGGAATGCCAAGAGGGCTCTTCTGGGCACGCCTCACCTCACCTGCTCTGTGAAGCATAGATCCGAAGGCAGAGTGACTTTGCCACCCAAGAAGTTTGGAAAATCCTGCAGGATACATCCTGTCTGCCTGGTTGCTCTTGAGTTGAAATCCTTACATAGCTATGCCTTTCCCTCAGTTTGCTAATGTGCTTGAGCACCTCCTGCTCTATCCCTGGGCAAGCTTGAGCTGAAGCTGCTGTGTAGCTCTCTCCCCTCCAGTGTTTGTTTTGGATGTGAACTTCCTCAAGGTGAAAAAAGCTGATGCAGGGTAAATAAAGCATTTAGCAATGCATTTAAATGAAGTAGCAAGGAAAGTTACCAGTTGTGGAATTAAAAAAAAACCTAGTGTGTCTGGAAAAACTCTGATTTTAAATCTCCATCGTATTGAGAGAGGGCTAATAGGAGAGTATTGGAATATTACAGGGCTAAGAGTAAAGTTGTATTCAGTATACAAGGACACAGTATTTAGAAGGAAAATACAATAAAATCAGAATGTCAGAACTTCATTTTGTAATCATCCATTCAGCTGGCGTGCATCTGTATGCGTATCTCCTTGTTATCTGTTGGTAGTTTCATAATCACGGCATCACTGGCTCTTTGACAGAATCTGTATTGTCTGAGTAGGGTTTTTCCAGATACCACAAAGTAATTGTTACACAGATAGTCATCATTATGAATTAGCAAGGTTAATGGACTTAAAACTGAATCAGTACTAGTAAAGCACAGTTAACTGAGAATTAGACAACTACAGAATGTATTGAGGCATTATGAAAGATTCTGGCATTTTACTTAAATATTTTGCAGCTTCATCTTCTGTTTCTTCTTTTTACTGCTTCTCAGGTAAAGAGGCTGGTGTGTTTTTGGTCATGCAGGTCGTTTGCAGAAAGTGACTGTTGGCCTTGAATACAGCAGATGGAGTTAATGGCATAAAGTTTTCTCATATGCAGTATTTAGCCTTTTATTAAGTTTATGTGAAACAGGAGTTTGCATTTTTTCCTGCTGGAAATAGAGGGAAGAGCTGTTTCCTGAGATGATCTGTCTTGTCTGATGTGTAAATATACCTATACCCTACAGATGTTTTAAAAAACCTAGAATCCAAACAGTCCTGTCTACCCCTCCAGTACCGTTTTCTGGACGTGAAAACAAAGAAGAAAAGTGTGATATGAAAGACACCCCTGCTCAGTACGGATTGCATCTGAATATTGTGGAAAGTTAATACAATATTACCTTGCTCCTACACATGTAGGAGCGAGCAGCAGTCAGCACATAAATTGTATCTTATAATGTGGTTTAGCCTATCACACTAGCATCTTACTTGTTAATCCGTCTCCCATGGGAGGCCAGGTCTTAAAGAATAGTTCTGGGCTGGGAAGGGGCCAAATAGTTTATGTAAGTGAACAGGAAAGCAAGTAGGGTGCTTGAAACATGCTCTTGCTCCTCAAATTGCAGCACTATTCAGTACTTAAGAGTCAATGTTACATGTGGAAACAGAGGGATCTTGCAGATTTATGTATTTATTTCCTACGTGCAAATTGCATGTCCGTAACAATAAGCACAATGATACATGTTTGTATGTCTTCTGTTCATAAGATCATCTGAATGACATAGCAGCTTGGGTGCTGTGCAGGTAATGTGGGATATACTGGCGCACATCTGTGACTGCTTTCATGTTGTGCCACTGTTCCAGGGATCTGTGCCTGGACTGTAGATTAGCACTGTGTGAAGCTGGGACTAGAAGGGATGTGCATGTAGTTAGGGCACTGCTTTAGCCACACTGAAGTGAACACACTGGCTCAGCTGAAGGAAGCTTAAGCATATTGCAAGTCTGATTTGCAGCTGGTGTTTGGCATTTGTACTTCACTACAGGAGTTAGGCTGGTTTCTTTGTTTTGTTAAACTGGATGTAGTGGCCCCTGGTTTACCTTTCTCATCCTCTATCTTCCACCACAGGTGACACTCAAACCCAGGAAAGCCACAGAGTAGTTATCATGAGTGTGCCACAGCTTCTTAGCTAGCTCTAGATCTGTATGGTGAAGTGCAAAATAGTGAAAGGAAGCAGAGAGGAGAACCTTTGGTTAGTGAAGGGAAGTCAGCTGTTGATGATTTTGCATTGAAACCATTTGGGAGAAGCTAGTAAAGACTGAAAGCAATGAATGGCTGTTTTGACAAGAAGCGAATATTGCATCCAGCCTGGCTCATATCGTGGCCAGACAGTGCCATTTCATTGGAATGTATCAAACCATTGTACTGCTAATTCCTCTGCTGATAACAGGGATAAATCGAAATGAAACCCCTAAGCCTATAACTTACTTGACTTAACAAAGATCACAGGAGGGATGAATAGGCAAAAAGTGTCACCTTATCTGCAGAGCACAGTCAGTGTAGGGGAAGAAGGGTCAGGATGGGACTCAGCTTGGCAAAGGGACAACAGCTGTGCAAGGTAGATGTCAGCTTGTGCAGAAGGGCAGAGACACCTACAATCACATTGTCTCTTCCTGAGCCTGAAAACAGTCTGAGGGGAAAGAGAAAGAAGACAGCATACATTTTATTTTTTAAAATGTGAAGCAAAAAATATCAATATCAGAGCATGGCAGGAGAGCTGTGCAAAGCCTGTGTTTTGCCTTTGTCCTCTGTTAATATTTAAGCATTCTTAAATATTAAGCCCTCTTTTAAGTGTATAAGTTTTTCAAGTCAGCCTCAAAAGAAAGACAAAAAAATACACAGCATGTTGAGGTTGAAATACTTTCCATTAGACTTTGGCCTACTGCAAGGGAATGACAGGGAAATTCTTGAGGATATTGGCATTGCCAAAATGTGCCACGTCACCATGGAAGTGAAAATTCCTTAAAGGGAAAACTTGCGGCATGTGCTTGTGGCCTGCACATGCAATTGTTGAGGCAGCTTAGACCTTTAAATCTTAGTGGTGCAAAGAACAAGAGGATTTAAGATGTTATGGTGATAATTAGATCTAACTTTCTCCTCTCTTTTTCTTTTTCACAGTGCCCACGTATCACAAGTCAGTAGTAACATTCCTGCTACAGGAGAGTAAGTGTCTCTTACAATTTTGTAGCTACCATTTTTTGTATATTGGAGCTTTTTTAAGTACTCGTGGTTATTCTTTGATTTCTCTTTAAGGATTGTTCTTACACAAAGACAGTGTTTCCCAAACCGAAGCATCTGCAATGATAATAAATCACTTGCTTCGGAAGAATTCTTAGGCCCATGGTTCTTTCCTCATGCTGTGCCTGTGATGTTTTTGTTAGACAGAGCTGGCATATTTAGAGAAGCTATTTGCACTGTGTCATCCTCTTGCTCTTGTCTACATCCCAGCAGAGGACCTGGCTCAATGCTGCTACCGTAACTGGGAGCAGCAGAGTCAATGAGTTGGCTTCCTTGCCAGAGCTGGAGGTGCCAATGGCTGATGGGTTTGCAGAACTGATTCTTGTCAATACATGAAACAGGGACATACTTGCCTAGTTAATCCACATGGGGTTCGCAGTTGTTAAGATCTCTGACTTTTGGGGGAACTGCAGTGTCAGCAGACTTAACAACTGTAGCAACTTGACAAAAACTTTTGCTGAATTCTCTAGAATTCTCTGGAGAAGTCAGCCCAGGTAGAGGTTCCCATACTTACAGCTACACAGTTGAAAATTAACCAGCAAATGCTGCAAATAACTTTTCTATTTATGGAAAAAGCACTAGGAGCTATATATGGACTTTGGACAGGCGTGTTTGAGAAAACTCATTCTTCAGCAGATACCTAAAGCATTGCAAGAAACAGGGATGGGGCAGGGATGCACAAAAAATGTGATTTGAAATGATCTTTGTGGGGAAAAAATAGATTTTGCCCATAAAAATGTCCTCTGAGGGAGGAAGTAAATATTACAAGAAAATGTCAGGAGATTTGGTTGTGTTGAAAGTTCAAGCAGTCTCACATCTTTAGCTGATGCAAATGCACAGGCTCCCTTGCTGTGGCATGTGTGGAAGCCCTCTTACTGCCAGCGGGACTGAAAGCAATCTCACACTAGACTTAAGGGTGGCTGTGAGTGCATTCACAGCACAAGAACAGTGCAGAAACAGAACTCAGAACCAAACCTGTGCTTGGTCATCAATTTAAGCATATGAGGAGTTTGTAGTGAGGTGCTGTTTGTGTGTTCTTATCCCCCTGTGAGACAGCTGTGAATCACCTTCTTGCAGATGATGTTGCCTCACTGAGCTGGGATTGCACAAGAGACTGGTGTCAGCATGGCTGGGTATCAAATACAGTTTTGCCACGGCAAGGACTATTGAAGTGGAGGGTGAAAGTTAGGCACCAGTGTCTCTGTTGCAGTAAGTAAAATTAGCTGATTTACTGAAGGTTCAAATATCCCTAGAAATAAGAAAGAGCAAGATGAATTGGGAAGGTTCAGCTGTTCTGAGGGACCTGAACATCAGGATATCTGAAGCTTAGCTCTTCGCAGATGTCATGGCCCTAGGACATTTTACACTGCCTTGCCATCATAATAAAACATAACCCTTGGATACCCTTGCTTTATTTATTCTTGCAGAGAGGGAGCTCCACAAAGTCTTTGAGCTCAATTGACCTTATTTTTCGGCTTGACAGGTATTTAGAGAAGACAATCCGCTCAGCCGTGGAGCAGCATCTCTTTGATGTTCATGGCTCAGGCGGCCAGAGTTCAGAGGACTCTGAATCGGGAACATCTTCAGCCTCTTCTAATGTGTCTGCCAGGCAGAGGAGGCGACACCACAAAGAGCAGGAGGAAGCCCGGAGAAACAGAGACATGTATGAGCCTGATTTCTTTGTTTTGGAGAGTGTATTTGATTAAGTGTACCCTAGTTACATCCTCTGATCAAGGCAATGCTTAGTTCTGTTGCAAAATACTCTGGCCCTTGAGTTGAAAGTTTAGAGCAGACTGAATGCCTGTGCAGAGCATCAGTTAGAGCTGAGAAATGTAAAATTTATTAGAGGTCATGGAGTGTGGCGAAGCATGATAAGAATCTAGGGGGTTTTACACAGTATAGTAGAGTTCTTAATTACAGTATTTGGAATTGTTTAATTACAGTATTTGTTGCTTTAGTGGAAATTCACAAGCCTATGTCCCTATTGCCTATAACTTTCTTTAGATAAAGACATCGGGTTTAGATACTTTTCTGATTTCCAAATGTCTTCGGAAATGAGATGAAGCCTCCTTTTTGTATATGGAGGCACAGCTTATGTCTGGGTTTATTGAGGAGACTTGGGCATTGGTCTGAAGGTAGAAAAATCTTCCTTTTGAGTAATCAGAATTTAAGAATTATTATCCACCCTGTTACACAAAGTTTAAACATGATTTAGCGGTTAATTACATTAAATGTCCGTCAAAGAGTAAAAATAATACCTATTTTTCCTTTCATACTCCTCTACTTGTGGCATTGTACCACTTTGTGCAGTACAAATATGTTGCCACCACAGCCTTAACAGCACTTGCCCAAGGCATATCTATCTTTGAGGAACAAAGGCTTTGCAAGGCCATGATCTATATTCAGTACTTACACATAGTCTAGGTTTTACCCACCACTACTTGTAAAGAATGTGTGTTCTTGGCTGAAGTACTGGTTTGCTAGGATTTCAAGTTATATTCCAAAATAACATCTAGTCTCTGAGGGTTTTCTCCTGGGTGCTGAATTCCCCAAGTCCTATTGGATCTGCACATTCCTATATAAAGCCACTTTTATACAGGTGCATAACCTCATGTTAATATTGCAGCCATGTCATTTCACAGAAATTTATCAATGCTACTGTTGTAAAAAAAATCCATGGTTATAAAAATCCATTTACATAGTGACTGAAAATATGCTGTGAAGGTGGACTGGGAAATTAGCACTTGCAGGTCACCAAAGTATCTGGCAGCAGCTCTGAAGTAGTTTTTCTTGTTTAGTAGCCCTGCTGACAGGCTTCTCAGGTAAGTAGGTCAGAGACTGGCTAGCGTACGTGTTTGGAAGCATATAGTACTGCAGGGCTTCTTTTCAGCAGTGCATTATAGAGCCACCTTTGCACATGGTTGACACAGTTGTTTAGGTTCAGCTGGAGCCAAGGATTTAAAGCACATCGGAAGTTTTGAATGCTGGCTAGGATTCAAATTGTTTTCCCTGGTTCCCTTAGGTCAGATTGCTGGAACTCCTTTCCATGAATTATCAAAATTGGGAATTCCTTTCAAAATGTCTTTCAGTTGTCACTGTTGTTTTGATTGTCAGTGATTTCATCTCCTTGCCTTGTGGTGGATCACAAGAGGATTTGTAATGTCACAAGATGGGACTTCAGACAGGAAGAGTGTTTATCACAAAAACACATAGGTGAACTCCCAGGCTTTGCAGGCTACATGATCTGCAAGCTGTGTATATGTAATTGATCTGCTCAGAAGGTTATAAAAGCTTCCACAAAAGCAAATATATTATCTTTGAAGTTTAATCATAGATTTATAATACCTTTTTGTATTTCCCTTCCACGAACAAAACCTAGAGGCTCATGATCTAGAAAATTGTTGAAACTTTCTGGTTTTCTTTTCCATGCTGGCACTGTCCAGATACTACGGAGTAACTGGTTTCTTGTCCCACCAGTACAAATCTAGATAAATTCTCCTGATGTTTGTGAAAGCAGGCTTTGGAGTTGCACAGCACTGTACAAGGCAGCCACACATACAACAGTTAGCAAACATCCCAGTTTCAGTGTCAAGTATAAGCAGCCTGCATTTAGCCTCTGGCAAGGTAGGATGATAAAGAATGAGATGCGCTGTGCTTCCCCTGTTGCCCTAATGTGTTATGTATGTGTCTTCATTATTGTACAAAGTAGAGAGAAGACTACTAAACAGGCTCTGAAGAAACAACTGCATGCTGAAGGACCCAGAGGCTAATTGTGCAGAGCAAGATAAGCCACACACCAGGCTTCTGGAAAAAAGACACAAGCCCTGCTAGTCCAGAGTCCAGAGTCCCAGCATCACGTGGTGACTTAAGGCTGCCTGTCCCGCTTCCAACGTAGCAGCACAGTTCTCTGTCCTAGCAGTTGTGTTGCTGTTGCAGAGATGCATTCCCTTTTCTGTTCTGTGTAATTCCTAAATAGGAATTGAGCTTTTAGCTAAAGTACCACTCAATTCCAAAATGCTCTTACATTTAACAATATGAGTAAGGAGGTCGATTATGCGGTGTCATGCGCCAAAGGAGATCCTTGGACCACAGCTGTGAATCAGTTTCTTAAATTGAAAGCACGTGTCTCAAAGGAAAATACACTGTGTATTCTCTATAAAAATACCACAGACAGCCAGGAGCTAGTCCAGCTCAATGAGATTCTCTGTGTTGACTTTAGTGGGAAGTGAATCAAGTCCCAAACATTGATCCTCATAGTTTCTCACCTGAGGTACATACACGTGGCTTTCACTCCTCAGTGGGATTTAGCATTGCACCGTGTGTGTTGTTTGCTGCAGTAGGAAGAACCAGAGATACTGGTTTCATAGGGCGTAGGTGATATTGCTGGAACTGCACCAGTCAGCATAATGTATTTCTCTATTGCTACCATAAATGTAGCGGGAGAGTGTTTTAAACAAGCTCTTGTTGTAACATCCCTTTTCTTTTTAGGGAAGTCATCAACAAAGAAAACATTCCCTCTGGATTCAGCAGTCTTGAAGACTGTATTCTAGCTGCTCAAGAAGTAGAAAAATTACAAGACAACAGCTCCGGATATCTTAGTGAAAGGAATAAACCAAAGCGGCAGAAATCCAGCACCAAGCTCTCGGAGCTTAATGACAACCAGGACAGTCCTGTGGTAAGCTGACATGCTGCACTGTTTGACACCTAGGACTAGAATAGGAAAGTGTCTTTTTAATTTCTCTGCACGTCTGGTTCCCTTGAGTAGTCATTTTTGCCTGCAGTACACATAAGTGGCTGTTTTGGACTATGGGGAACACTGGATTCTGCACTTACAGCCTTTGTGATGAAGCAGCTGAGAAGCTGTATTTCTGCTATGATCCTCTTACTATAGTCGTTTTTTCTTTCCACAACTTTTTGCTTTTTTTGTCTGAATTCAGAGAAGCATGTTTGGAAAGAGGAAAAGGAAGTAAGTCTTCTTTCTTTCAAAAGTCTTGCAAGGGGGTTGGAACTTCAGACAGTTTCATATGTTCAGGTCAAGTTTATTTTTATATTTCTCCTAAGTTCTGAAACTGTAGATGGCAAGTGACGACTTGATAACAAGATGACAAAGGTATTTTATGCCTTTTCCCTAAAGTCTGTGTGTTACTGCAATTTGCAAAACACTTTAGTGTGTTGATCCAAAAGGTGATCCCTCTAGCTAACTTTGGTGGAGGAGGTAAATGGCACTGATATAATGTCCTAAAAATCTGGAATACTGTGGAATTTGCCCAGCATATTCTTGTACAACCTTCACAGTAGAAGATAGTTTGCCAACTTTTACATGCTGTAGAATAAAACTGAAATAAGCTTTCTTCTCAACCAAATGAAACACAGATTATAGTGTCAGCAGCTGAGAAACTGTACCATGCTTCAATGCAGGGTCTGCTTACAGTGGCAGAAGTGCTATGCATCCCTGTGCATGGCACCACAGCTAGTAACAGTGAAAGCTGTGGGAAAAGACTGTCCTTCCAAGCTATAGGGTGTTTCCTTCAGTTGTACTTGAGTAAGTTTTAGAGACTGCTATGAATTCTTAGTATGATATTGTGTTGGGACTCATTTTGTTTAATTCACAAAATTGAATTGATCTAGTGCCCTTACGCTCTGCAGAGATTCTAGAGAGAGGCTAATTTGGCTTCCTTTGTGATAAAAAGAATGCAAGCTGCTAAAAATTTTAGGCTGTGCTTAGATTTAGTGCTCAGTATCAGTAACCTTCTCACGTGATACTTCATGAAAGCACAGTGAGATAGACACACTCTGTGTCTTTGCTTGCAGCAATGCACTTTAAGACAGGTAAAGGTCAAGTGCTTACACTCTTTTCTGCACCTCTTCTCTGTACTTGTGGAGTGTGAAGCAGTTTAAATGTAAATGAGAATTTGACTTGGGATTTGGGAAGGATTGACAGAAGTGTCTACTTTTGTTGTGGACCTGAAAAACAATCATAAAGTCCTAAAACATGCCCAGAAGAAATATCTTCAAACCTACCTGTGTCCAGTGGACTTTGCCTCCCATTGAGAGGCAGAGGCTGAAAGGAACATAAAATAGACTAACCTAGCACAAAAAACCCTTTGACCAACATGACCATCAGTGTGCTTCTTGCTTACTTTGCTACAGAAAGCATCATAGGGGGATTGTCAACTAGGAGTATTGTTATGAAATAGCTTGCAGAGAGCATGATGCTGTTCATTTTGAAGAGCAAAGGCTACTTTTTACGTTTTCATGAGTGTGCTTATTTCATACTTGCATTTCAGAAACTGCCAGCAGGATATGTGATGGCTTAGCTTTCTTTTGGCTACATCTTTACACGTCAGATAATGACACAAATTAGACTACCTACTTGGAGTATCAAAGGACATAACCTGCACCTTAACATTTGCTAATAGGCCTTCATCCTGTAAACATATTTGTGATGTATCTTCTTAGGCACTTTTTTCTGAACCTTCCCACTTTTCAAAGCGTGAAAGAGCGTGTAGGACAGTGCATGGAAGCTTTCCTCTTAGCTGTCTAATTGCATCTGACTCAAAAGCATAAGTCGGAGGTGGAAAAATTGTCAGTTCCACAAACCAACCACAGAGTATTAAAAGCTTGTAAATGTATTACAGAAACATGGTAACCAGGTACCAGTAGGACTTGAAGAATCACATTAAGCAATGCTGGAATGCCTGGGCTGTGTCACCTTATGGGGCTGGAGGTGTAGCAAGTGAGAGGGGGTTGTGACTGCCCCAGGAAGTCTGTCTACACAGTTCCAGGGGCTGGGGCAAGAACCACATTCCATTCTACTGTCTGACTTGCTCCTATTTAAGAGGGACTTTCTCAAAAAACAGGGTAGAAAACCTCCTGGACATGTGCCCAAAGTGGCAACATGACTTGTCTTCACAGTGCTCTCTCAGGCTCTTAGAGGACAACAATGTTAAAGTTCCTAATGGTAGCCAAGACAAATTTCGGAACAAGTTGTCATAACCAGTTGAATTTCTTGCCCTGCATTCATATTTTAGCAGAAGTTGTCATTATCTCTTGCATATGGCAGTCTCTTGCATTGTTCTGCCCATTTAAGAGGAAACTAGGGAAGGGTTTGGCTGAGAAGGGAAGTTTTTTCTAAGATAAGCATAAGGAGTTCTGCTGGAAAGATGCTACAGGTGTTGGTACCTGCTCTTTCAGGACTTGTACGTACCACAGAATCACTCTCAAGCTCAGCCTGTCTGTCAGTCTGCAAATATGGGAACTGGCAGGGTACTATGCAGCATAATTCTGTTAGACAGACAACAGAGGTTGTCTGATGAAAGATAAAGCAGTGAGCAGCTGTTGTTTTTTGGCAGGTTGTGGGCAATAAAATGCGGGGTTTGTTTTGTTATAAATGTGCAGCAGGCAGGACTCTGCTTGTTGCCTTGTTTCTAGAAGTCCTGGTTGATGTTTCTTTATTTGATCTGTTTACTGGCCTACAGCTTGAATCTGTTTCTCTTATGTATTTTACTGCTTTAACATTTACTGTATTACAGAGTATGGAAAGCTTTAGCTCATCCAGGCCTCTAGACAGAACAGAACCTGATGACATGGAAATTTTATCTGAAGAAAGGTGATTTTTTTTTTTTTTTTAATATATATATGTTTTATTTTCCCTGTGTTTTTAGTACAGCCTAAGAGATCTTCCACCACAGGCTATGAGCATGTCAGTTATGCTGCAGAACAGCATTACCCACTGTATTAGTAGGATGGTATGGAGGCACTATATATGTTGTGTTGGCTCTGCTCAGTAGCATACGCCACCAAGATTCTTCTCCCAGCCTGTTAGGAAAAGCACTGAAGATGCTGATGGTGCAGACTTGGAAAGCAGTCAGCTGTGAACCACTTGAACCAGCAAGCTCCACGCAGGTGACTGCAGGGCCTGTCTCACCCAGCTTCTTGGTTGGGAGTACAGCCCTTTGTGTTTCTCTCTTCTACAAGTGCTGTAACAGCCCCACTCTGCTTGACTGAGGTGACAATTCCCTCCACAGTTAACATTTGTTGGGAGAGCTGTATTGGTTTGGATTAAGAGCACTGGAATTAAATGACGTATTTTTCATAAATAGCTCCTGAGAGGAAGCAAAAATGCATCGTTTATCAGCCTGAAGTGCTGTAGCCCAGAGTGTTCCTTCGTTTACTGAATGAATTAGTAAGTGTGCAGCAGTAGCAAGCATCTAAAAACCTGTGTGTGTAGAAGTCCTGCTTGTTTTTGTTACAAGGCAAGTCTGGTTTTGTATTTGTAATATGTTGGTTTGTTTTTGTTTTGTTTTTTTGTAGCAAAGAAAGTGAAAACGATGAGGTTTTTTTCAGGCACTCTCAGGTTGGTATTTTTTGGGTTTTACGTTTCAGTTTTGTGGTCTCTAAATGGGCTTTTTATTGAGTAGAAACAAGTAGTGAGGCATATAGTTCTGTACAATTTTGTTTCTCCTAGAGAAATGCTGTTAGCATTTGCTTTTCCTTTTCCTTCATTCTGCTTTTTACTTACATAATTCAGGGAGCATCTCAATCACTGAGGAGTCCGAAAGCATTTGCTTCACTCCCTTCAAACCCTCCTTGCCAAAAAGGGAAGTGTCACTGAAGTTAGTGCTTTGGTTTAAGTAACACAAAGTTCCCTTACTAATCATTGCAAACAGGGTGTGTAGCTGGTTATCTCCCAGGGTAGTAAGATTAGCTTGTCTCTCTTGATTTCTCTAAAATCCTTTGGCCTTTTGTTTATGATTTCCCAATGCAGCCTGTTACCTTTGAACATCGGTGTCTGTGATTCATTTGTCTTAGAAAACTGGATAATCTTCTGCTTCTTTCCTAAGGTTGGTGGTTGGGGTGGATGTCAGGAGGGGAGACGTGACATTGTGGGTGACAGTTTTTTCCCCAACTTTCAGTTTCTGCTCAACAAGCACCTCCTGCCTTCACTTCATGGTTTTTCATCTAACTGTTCAGCAAAGCAAAGATTTAGGTTGGTTTAGGTGGGTTTGCAGTCACTGGTTCATGTAGGTTTGCTTGAAACACTTCTAGACAGCTAAGCATTTATAACACTGGGGAGAGTTATCTGAAGCACCTCTGCCTCAGTTGTGCACCCGTTTTAGAGGAGCACAGTAAAACAGCTGTGGACAGTGCCTGTTTTCTCTGGCCATCTAGAGTTAACTGAGGGCTGACAGTATTCTTAAACTAGCCTCCTCTTGTGGTTTGTTGGGTTTTTTTACAAATAAAAGCCGCTATGACGTTTTTTTGCCTTGAAAGGCTTCATTTCTGATACGTATCATTTCCATTTAGCAAGAAAGGTAAAAGATTACTTGCTACCAGCTGTGCTTTGACCAGCCGTGTTGTAGCTGCAGAAGTTCATGGGACACTGAAATGTGTTACCTCTGCAAGGGGTGTTCAGTGCTGCCTTTGATCACCACTCTGACTGGGCTTAGATGAATCTCCTACTTTGCTCCCACAGGATAGTAATCCCCAGTGACCCAGCACTTGCTTGTAAGCTGTTGTGTTTTCCGGAGCTTGGATTTTGCAACAACTTGTCCCTCACGTACTGGCTTGCGTGTGGAGAAGGTGCTGTCACTGCCATGCCACACAATACTCCCATTAAGCTTTTAAATTAGTCTGGGAGAGGTATATTTGAATATGAAATCGTTGTCTTAAAGTAAACTTTTTAGCAAGAGCTTTAAAATTTACAATTTAAATTGCAGGAGAAGATGTGGCCTTAACCAGAGATCGCATTATATAGGAATTACAAGGTCAAGAAAATGTTACATTCCTGCAGGGTAATTTTACATTCCTTGTCCCTTATAAGCCTTTTGCTTAGGGCAGCTTAAAGACATACCTTTAGTAACAAACAACTCATTCAGGATGAGGAAGGGCAGGGACTTTCTTACTCTCTTTCTCACCCTGTCTCCAGTCTGAAGATACTAGCAAAGATATTTTGAATTTGTCATGGTTACCAGTTGTGCAGTCTTGGGTCTCCATGAGGCAGTAAAAAAAACTCTAAATACATGTCCTGAGTTTGTTTTCAGTGCTTCTGTAGCCTTCATAATCTGACCTTGGAAGTAGCTAAGCTCCAGGATATAGACTGTGATTTGAAAAACACAGGTTTTGATAAGGGAAGGGTGTTTAAGCAACAAGTGTAGAGGGGGATTGGTGTGACTCAGGAGGAAGTGAGCAGAATGGCTTCGTTCTTGCATCAGATTGTATTACAAAAGGTGCTTAAGGAAGCTTCCTGCTAGTGGTTGTAATGGATGATCAGATGTAGGGAAAGCAAGCCTTTTAAATAAAATTGGTTTGAATCCACATGTAATTGAACAGAATACAACTCCCTGATCAGAATTCAAAGATCCTTCTGTTGCCATTTATTCCTAGCTGCTTGAGCTACTCCTTATGCTCCTTCCTTTAGAGCAGGGAGAATATCCCCAAGTTACTTAGACCTGTAGTTACTGGTACCTGCAAAGCATGGGGCAGAAGGAGCTTCTAAAAAGCAGAACTCAAGTGCTTAGTTTGAAGTTGTTTGTTTGGTTTTTTTTTAGGGTGGGGTTTTGGTTTTTTTTTGGGGGCGGTGTTGTGGCTATTTATGTAATATCTGCAGTGCACTGTGACTGTCAACTGCTACTGAGATCATCATCTTGCTGTTCCTTTGGTTTGTAAGAAATTGAGGGGGATCCATACCTAAAGCGCAGTAGTTCCCCGTACTGGATTTTTGTCCAGGAGGTTGGTGATTAGTGGCATCAGGAAAACAAATAGGAAAATAAACAGTGGGAATACTGAATTATCTACCACTCTATGGGTTTGGAGCATTATGCAAAGAAGGTTAAACATCTGCTTTCTGGAGTCTCCTGGGTTTGTATCACCATTGTTTTTCAGAACGCCTGATGATTTATTCATTGTATTAGGGACTGCATCAGTGAGCAAGGACAGGAGAGGAACTGGCTGTGGGCACAGCACAGGCCTGTTTTTAAACAGCTTTTAAGTGTTTCCAAGAACTGGAGTGACTTTAGAAGGAAGAAGACATAGATATGATCTTTCTAATATATCTGTAATGAAAATGTTTACCCATCTGGGAAGTGCCTTTATATCTGCTCCAGATGTTATTTAAGAGCCTTAATAAGTCCGGAAATTGCACACACCTCATGGAAAGACATTTAACTGTAATTAGTATCAGTGGTGGTGGTGAGATGGTATTTTCAGGTTGCTTCCTTTGAAATCGTTAAAATGTAGATAGGTTCCTCTCTTCACACTTCTTAACGTAGTTAAAAATAGCCCCTATTTTGAAAGTTATTGCTTTATGTCTTTCAGCTTTAAAATACCATGCTGGCAATTTAAATGCAGTTTATCAGCTGGTACAGTTTGTTCTTCAGTAAATGTAGAAGTCTGCCTGTTTCTGGCCACTGACCAGTCTCTCTGTAATGTATGCTGACTAGATCCTGGCAAGAAATTTGTTACTAGTCCTTAAAGAAATATCTAAGTCCTCCCAACCTGGAAGCAGCTTAAAAGGTGTTGAATGGTGAATTAGCATTTTTCCACGTAAAGCTCTCACAATAAACACATTTGGAATCAGATTTAGTGTCAAACTGTAAGAGTTATTGCTGCTTGGCAAACTGTCATCTAGTGTTTCCTTTTGTTATAATGTTTCAAAGAGGTGATTTACTGAAATGAAAAGGAAATACAAACCTTATACAAATACAATGCACAACACTCTTTACAGTGTTCACCACCCAGGTTTTTAGAACTGTAGAACAGCCCAGGTTGGAAGGGAACTCAGAAGATCACCTGGTCCAGCTTTTCGTGGGAAAGGGAGATGAGATTATCCAGCACTCTGTCCAATCACAGGGATTGATGGGATTGAATCCAGATAAAAACATTTGTATGTTTTGTCTGCTGGGCAGGTTTTTTCCCCTCTCTACATGAAGCTTACTTGTTTTTCTCTGTTCAAAGGGAAAACAAAAAAAAAAACAAAAAACAACAAAAGACAAGACCCAAACACACACATTGTTAGCTTTATGCAGATGAAAAAAATTAAGTGTGCTTTAGTGGCATGTATTAAGGCTATTGATTTAGTACAGTTTGGCCATGCTTCTGGATTCACAAATAAAATATATTCAAATGTGCCAGTTATTTTCTTCAGGCCCGTTTTCTTCACACATCAGCCTATGCAGATTGCTAATTAATCAAAATACCTGCAGGGGGCAAATCTGCATGTTGTTTACCTGCTAGACTACATTTGAGAGAATTATGCCTGAGCTTTTCTTAACAAGATCAAATAGTTTATGTAGTAATGTTATGCTGTCTATTCGGATAGCTCTGTGTTTGTTGGTAGGTTTATACATATCACACTGCATGTTTATGTACGTGCTTTACACTTCCTTTTTCCTGCTGCCCTCTGTGAGGCATTACAGCTGATTTGTTCTAGAGTGACAAAACTGCTCGTGTCATCAAGCACTGTTTTGGACACGCGCACTGTGTATCTGATTGGGGGAACGGCAGTGATTTCTGCATAAATGCACACAACGTGTGGTATGTGCAGGGGTAATAGTGGTGAGACAAACAGCAGTTACTTCCAGGTAGTGCTAAATGATGAATCATTTACTTGACGGCATTCTGCTTTTTTTTTTTCTTTTCCTCCTAAGTCATTGGATGCTTGTGTGAATTTTTTGGCTTTTTCCCAGAGTCCACACTGCTTCCAGCCAAGATGCCAAACCCCACTGCCATTTGGATTTGCGCAACACTGCTTTAATACCCAGAGCTCCTCCATAAATAGTTCTGCTCTCCCCACGCCCAGCTAGAAAACAACCACAGGAAATCGGGGAATGTGCAGCCAGCACAGCTTAGCTGGCACTAATTGATCTGAGCCAGCACAGCTTGCATGAGAGCATTCGTGTACGTAGCCTGCATTGCTTGCTGTCTGCGGCTGCTACCTCAGGAGCTCCAGTGCCTGCTTTTTAGAAGACACCATATTGCTACAGCCTTACAACGGCAGCAGCATTTTTGTTGTTGCTCGAAGGAGTTCTGCTCCTATAGGAAGTGTACGCAGCACACCCCACCCCATCCCCCCCCTTCCTTTTCTCCCTGCCTTCCTCCCTCCCTTTTCATCCCAGTCGATTATTACTTGAGGCTTTTTAATCTGCATGCAGTTGTCAGGGCAGGCAGTCTCAGGAACTTGCAGTGGCTTTCTAAAGAAGGAAAAATTCAAGGAAGGCAGATGGAAGGATGTTTTTACCAGTGTGAGTGAGCAATTAGTACATAGGGGTCACTGAGCAGGGGATTTGAATTTGGAACTGGAAACATCAGGGTCTGTTTGTTTGAATCTTTTTAGCTAAAGGCATGAGCTTACTGCTGCTGTGACTGGAGGTTTTGTTTTTTTTTACCTCCTCTGCCTCCTGAAACATTTTTTCTTTCTCTCTCATTCTGTGGGTGTATGGGAATATAGCTGACTTCAAGTATGAAGATTCAAGAGCATCCAGGCATTCCTGAAAACAAGTTGCAAAGAAATCAAGATGCTGATGAACAGGAAAACAGCTTTGTGTCAGAAGTGCCTCAGCTGGATTTGACAGCACTATGTGATGACAACAACTGGGAAGGTAGGATTGTGTGATGGCTGGTTGTATGAGTGAAATGAGAGAGAGAGTAGGGAAAACTGAGTGGGGTGGGTATATCATGTTACTGTGTTCCCTTGCCAAAAATAACAGGAAAGCAGTTTTGTCTGAATATGGAACTGAAAGTTTGGTGAAACTGGAAGCAAAATACTGGATGGGTACTAATTCTATTGTCACTTATAGGAAGAAAATTAATTGTTTTATTCTTGAAGTTAATTTCATGTGCTGTTTAGTACTGTTAAGTCCCTCAGTGTTTCAGGATAGCTTATTTCTTGGCAGCTGGTCACTCAAGTATTAAGCTAGACTGCCCTACACTTCAAAGAAACTCTGTATTCCCCAGTCCAGAAAGAACTTCCTTCTTTCTCCTATCCACTTCAGTCAGTGTTCAGAAATAATGTTTTGGATCTGAAAAGCACAGCTGGAAAAAAGGCTGTCTATCTGCTACTGTGTCTTTTGATGGCTCTTACAAACAACAACTTCTGTGTATGCTGTAAAAAAAATCTGATCACCAGCTTGAACAGCAGTGTTAAATTGCATGTAGTTTAAGTTATTTCAATACTGTTTCTTAGCTCTTGTCTCCAGAGTGCATGCTTGGTTGGCTGTTTGCACTGACTTAAGAGTGGGAAATCTGGGAAGATTCTCTGGGTGCCATGAACCTCAATTTCATTTGAAATTGAGATGACTTTAAGGTGTCCTAGCACTTCCAGGATCAAACCATTTTCCAGTTACTGTGTATGTGTACAAGCAAGAATTCTTCTGTTAGTTTGTGCTTTAGGAGTGAAAGAGAAGGGCTTTGACAGGGAAGAAACAGGAAAATGCGAGTATGGTATTTCAATAAAGCAAGAGAAGGAAAATGTGTAACTAATTTACTGCTCAAAAAGAACAATCTCTGAGGTACACTGAGAAGTTACATCCTCTGCTTCTGCTTCCACAGCATACATGACCTAGTATATTTTACCTTTCCCTCTAGGAGGGGAGTAGTTATGATGCTTTGGGCGTGAGTGAGTGAAGTAAACCCATGGCCATGGCTACCTTTGGTTCAGCCGGGCAACTAGTCATCATGGACAGGAGAGAATTTCTTTACTTGCTCGCTAGGCGGGGATTCCCTAGGTGGTATCACTAAACATGCAGCGTGGCTGATCAAAGGGCCATGGAAGGGCTCCCAGGAGGCCTTGGAAGCCTTATGTGTTTGCTGAAGTGCTAATTAGCATTGGCCTGCAGGGTCTCAAGCCAGGGTGAGCATGTCTGTGTTCTCAGAGGTGATGTGTGGCTTCAGCAGTCTTGTGAACCTTTGGAAATAATGACTTTTTTTTTCTTCCTGGGTTACTAATTGGAGTCATATGAATGCATGAAGGGGAGTACACAGCTCCTTTCTGTCTGCCAGAGGCTTTCTCATCATATGAAATAAGTTGTACTTCTTTGTAGACATGCTATTATGTTTGGATTCTAGCTTTCCTGCCCTGTAAGTATGACACAGGATTATGAGCATGTGTGACTGTGCTTGAAGAGTGCTGCTCTCTGATTCTTCCTTCCTCTGGTCTGTTCACATGTATTTCGCAAGAGGGGGAGGTGGGCAGTTGCAAAAGAATCAGCTGTCTATGGTGAGAGAGATGTCCTCTAAAATACATGCCTTCCAGAATCACCATTTTGTTGACGCAGATCAAAGAGCAGGAAAATGGTGCCTTCTGTGTCTCGGCAAGGAGACACCGAGTCTTTCCTAGCTGTGGATGTGAAATCAAGCTTGCAGCAACCAGGGAGGGGAAGAGCTTAATGTAAACTCTCAGACTTCTTCTGCAGGTAACGGCAGAGTTTGTCAATGAGACTGGCTTTGCAAGGCAGGGTTTTATCACCCATCCACAGCTCTAGCAACCAGGGCATCCTCCCTTCCCCTGCCAGCCAGCCTGCATCACTCAAACCTTCACACAACTCTTCAGCATCCGTGCTGCAGCTCAGGTTGCATTCCCAGTGAAAAGGGAAAGGACTGTGTCTCCAAATGCAGTAACATTTGGCACAGTGTGAGCTCTAGAAAATTTGGTAGGTCCATCTCTCGGTAAGCTACCCATTCATCCAGCACATAGCTGAGCTGACTTTTGGGAACAGGATTCTCTGTATCATACTGAAAGGGATACAGAGCACCTAGTGATCAGGGCAACTAACCGCAAGTGCCTTGCGAGAACGATTACAGGTTGAGGAGCTGCCTTCAGCTGTAGCTGTCACTGTCTCCAGTCAGATATCAAGAAAGAGCCGTGGAGAATGGGCACAAAATTACACAAGACAACCTTGCCTACTGATTAGCTTTTATTTGTCACTCAGGCAGGCTATCCATCATGTTAAGACCAGAGCTGCCTTAAAAGCCCTTGTTCAGGGGCAAAGATAACTGCTACCAGGTGAGTTGGCAGGGTCCCCCTGCCTTTTATGTTGTGCTAGGAGTAACTTTTACTGGATTCTTTCGTTTTTGTTTTTCTAAGGTTCACCACATAGTCAAATCTGTACACAAGAGGAGAAATTTGCTGTACTTCTTCATTCGGGATATGTTCCCTTAAAGCTGAGCAGAGAGAGGACAGAGAAGTTGGCTTCCTGCTTCATCTACTGCATAGGCTTATGCTGCGCCATGTGCCCACCTTCTGCATCTGCCTTGTGTGCCCCAGCCAAATTCAAGTGCTGAATGCTTAGCCTGGGTGCATTTCTCATAGCACAAGAGGATTATTTTACTAGTGTGCATTTTGTGCGTGCAAATCAAATAGTTTTATTCTAGGGCTGGGTGTGAACTGAGCTGTTGGTGAGAACTGGGGTGTCTGACTGCTGGGCTTGCCTGCTAAGTCAGCCAGGGCCAGCTGAGATGCCTTGTGAGCAAGTGCTTTCAGAGCTACTTCCATTGCAAAGGTTTTTAATTGTTGTGGATTATGTTTGAATCCAGTGCCCTGAGCAAGAAGGACAGAGTGTTCTCTCACAATCCAGTGCTATTGTGCAGATTTCTTACCAAATGTTTCTAATTCAAGCCCAGAACTTGCTATCCTGCCCTCAAGGAAAATCTGCAAGTATGTTGCTCTCCGTAACAGAGGCTGGTCCTGTCAGCAGCTTGGAGCTGAATAGGCAGTTCAGTAAATCGATGCGATGTGTGTGATTGCTGCCTACGTCGCCTGATTTCTAACACTTTAAAAGAAGTTCCATAGATGAGACTTCAAGCAGAGTTTGCAGTAAAAAACACTTATGAAACAATCAGCAGACATTTTTTTCTGCAGACTTCTAAGCTTAAAGAAAAAATAAATAATAAAAGTAGAAGTTTAAAACACAATTTGAGTTCTCAGTGTTGAGAACTCAGGTGTTGCAGCACTGAGACCCTGAGGGTGAAGCTGATCTCCAAGTGGTTTCTGCACTGACTAATTGATGCTTTCCCATTTAACATAAATAAGTAAATAAATAAATAAAATCCAAACAGTATAGCAACAGGGAAGCTGGATTTAGATGTCTTTTTTTCAACACAGTGGACTTAGATGCATCAGTGTATTTGTGTGTAACCCTCGGGTAAGAAATCAAAAGGTGATGAAAAGCAATGCATTTTTATTGCCGTATGTAGAAAAGAATAATTGCATTGTTTACTGATTTTATTTTATAGCTTTGATATTTTTAATTTTTTTTTCATTGTTTATTATGACATTATGTGATAAACAGAATAGAAAGTTGGCTTGCTTTAGCTGAGAGATGTGTCATCTCACTAACTGAAAAGGCATGGTAGCGTTTTATTTTGGCCATTCTTTTTGATCTACATAAATAGGAAGAATACCTGCTGATGTATTCAAACAAGGATGTTTTCAAACAGTTATTTATAAAATGAGTAAAATAGGTGGTTACTGAGCTAGTGAATGTTTTGGAGTTTTAAATTGCTTTATTCACAGCATTATGAGAGGCCTTTAAGAGGAGTCTTTTGACTGGGATTTAATACCAGGACCTCAGGTGTTGTAATTAGTGTAGACTTTTTAATCCCTCCAGACCTGCTTTGGTTTACAGCAGCTAAGATTTGGCCTCCTTTGTTTGTCAGATGAGTATGTGTAAAAGCAGTGTTAGCAGCATTCATCAGCTGTGTGGCTGCAGAGAGGAAACCAGGAGATGCCTGCAGCATTTTGCCAGCTGCACCTCAGGTGGGATGTGTGTGTGGGCACCACTCTGTTGGTCCTGCAGCCCCCAGTAACCCTGTGGCAAATTCACAATGTAATGATAAAAAAAGTCAGGTTTTGTCAGCTAGATGGCTTGGAGCTCATCCGTAATGCACCAGTTTCGTACAATGTATCTGTCTTCCTTCTTGCGTGATGCAGGATTATTAATATCTCCAGCCCTCTATGCAGCAGGTTGGCAGAGAGGTTGTATTGCCACAGGCATATGTGTGCCTACAGAGTTCTGCAGAGCAGCACCTGGCAGATGGCTGACAGCTTTGTTGAAAGATTAGCTGGTTGTGGGATTTTGAGAGGGAGTGCAGCACTTCTGAAGAGCTGCAAGCTCAATACCAGCGTATTTGTCTTCTATATAGAAAAGGGATACCTAAAAGAATCGCGTTAAGAGTCAGACCAAGAAATAGAACATTTTTCACCCTTTCTGTGCACTAGTACAGCCATGGTATTCCCAAATTATTTGCTTTTTTCATGAAAGCTTGTCATAATGGAAAAGGGGGGGAGGGGAATAGTACATGGAAAGAATGTGAAGATTACTAGGAAACAGAGTTTTCTCTGAGCAGGAGAGATCTGTTCAAGACAAGATGACAGAAGGGTAACTGCTCTGTCAAGTCAATATCAAAAGAAGGTGAAACATTTGCATTCTTTATTGAGAATTTATTCTTCAATTAGCAGAAAGGGTAAAGGGTGACAACATTAGTCTTGGTAGCAGATATTTCAAACTTGAACCATTAAGTCTGGGAATTTAGGAGCCTTCAGAAAAGGCTCAACGCTTTGATGCTATCTTGGATGAATTAGTAACAGAAGATATGTATTCTGTTAAACAGGAATTGATTGTTCGTGCACTGTCAGAAAAAGTGTCAGCTTACCCTTAGCAGGTTCCTGTATATTTGTGCAATCCATCAATTCCAGTGCTCCCAGCTAAAGCACTTGGCACTTGCCCAGTATGAGAGAGAAGGCAGTTGGACTACAGCTCTGGTCCACTTCCTGATCTAATGTAGATAAAATCTGTAATTCTACATACCTAAATATGTTCCTTAACTGTGTTATTTTCAGGGGAATTATCCACTTTGCATGCAGATGGTATTTTTCTTCTAAATACTTACAGTCAGCAAGGGAAGGAAGTTACCCATGGAGTCAGGCCTTCCAGGAGCAAGGGTTAACACCAGCTGAATTTCTGTAGCAGCCATTTCTTCTGTGAAGTCTCAATTTTTTTTTCTTTGGGGACTTTTCCCCCTCTCCTTTTTAACAATTTTCTCCTTTGGAATGTGAGTTTCTATTTTGGGGCAGTGTTTTTAAATCAGCAAAGTAGAAAGTACACATACTTCAGTCTCCATTAGCTTGCATTAAGTGCTTTATTGTCTTTGGGGGTTTGATCAGAGGTTCTTTGAGCCACCTCAGTTCCCTGAATGTTGCATGCTATCTGGTATATAAATCCACCTTGGGACAAAGTCACATGCACTGTGCATGATTAATAGTGGCTTTGTTAGCTGGTGTAGAAGCTTAATTTAGCTACTACTAAATATGCTTCTGATTTCTGCTAAGTTTGTTCCGTTTATGTAAATTCCATGGAGATGTGATTTAACAATTTCCAAGAGCAAATTTTGTTTGGGACTAAGAGTGTATTCCAAAAACTGGAAATGAAAGATGTCTGCAATAATTGTATGCTTCACTTAACCTCATTCCTGCTAGTCAAATATATCAAATTTGTTCCTATTGTGTTATTAGCCTTTATTTTACTACAAGAGATCTTGTGAGGGCCTTCCTGAAATTGTGAGCGATTCAGGGAAGCATGCAACACCACAGTGTCGCAGTTTGTCTGCAGGGTTTGCCCTTCATTTCACCTTCCTTCTTATCAGAATCCTTGAGGAAAACATTTCAGGTGTTAGGAACTGCCAAGGTTGAACGCAGATTAGAAAGAACTCATGTTTCAGAAATTAACTGAGAAAAGTGCAGGCTGCATAAGCTTTTCAATCTGTGATAAAACGCCTGACAGGCACTTGGGACTTGCACACCTCATCAAAGTAGCCTGTGCAAGCCAGGCTTGTATATGCTTCACTTATCACAACACCTGCAAGAGGTTCTTACGCAAAAACCTCCAGCCATCCCTTTTTAGAGCAACTTACCAGTTTGCATGCAGCACCAGCCTCTAAGCAGAGGCATGCTATTTATATTCTGTTCTAAAGAACAAGGGAAGAGGAGGACAGCATTGTTTGATGCTATGTACAGGCGAAATACCACTGCACCTGTCATAACTGAATTGTGGATGGTCTTGCGCTGTCCAAGTGATGCATGGGAGGGAATATTAAGCAGCATGCAATCCATTCTGAGCTATGAAAATGTTAACCTTGTTCAGAAAAGGGAAATGGTGCTTTTTATTCAAAAATTGATAACTTCAAAAGGCCCTTCATGAAAGAAGAATGCCTATTCTTCTGCACTAGGCACTGGAAATAATGAATCCACAGCTGTGCTGCTGGTCTGGGAACTTTCTATAAGGTTTTTGTTTTCTTACTTGACTCTAGAACTATTTGTTAGATTTATAAGTTCAAAGCCTGGCTCTTAAACTGTCTAATCCTGTGGTGCTAAGTAGGAGCATGCAGATCAGCTTAGTAAACTATCAGAACAGAAAATGTTAGACTCCTTATGGCATCTGGAGGGAGTGATCACAAGATTGAGGCGATTGCTTTCTGTGGACTCCATTATGCTAATCAGCAATGCTAAGTTGGGTTTCTCTTTCTCTCCCACTCCCCCATCTCCCTGTAGAACACTGTTTTTGCTTCCAGCTCTTTAGATTGCCATACTGTTAAGCAGGAGGATTGTACGTGAAAGAGAAAAGGGGGAAACTCAGATCATATTGCCATCATTGTTAATTTACAGGCTAGGCACCCCGTGGAACTGGTAGTAATGTGAGACACCTTTTCCTTTGCAGACCAGAAGAATCTATGCTTACTCCTTACCTTTGAATTTCTAACAGCAGGTGACAGGGTTGTGTTGGAGTGCTGAAGGCTACAGGGGGACAACTAATATGCTGTTCATTTACAGCATTTGTACATCCAGAAACTGAGAAAGAATCCTCTTGTAATCCAGTTGTCTCTTTTGTACTGCTGTGTGCCAAGAAATCTTTCTTGTCCAGCATATTTTTTTCTTCAAGGGTGCTGGCTGGTGATAGCTTCATTTGGTGTCAGTCTGTGGCAATTACTGACCAACTTTTGGGTACAGTTTTCTGTTGTACCTAGGAGATTATTTGTGTTTAGTTAGAGTACCCATTGTAGACAAGCAATACTTTACATTGCTTTGCACCCTGGGCATGTGAAAGTAATGACCCAGAGAATGCCTGACAACAAGGAATCGCAGTCCAGCAAACGGGTCAGGGTTCAGTAGAAAATTTGCCTGGTGTCTGTTGTACATGTAAAACAAAAACGATAAAACCAGCCTTTGTCTTACTGTTCCCAGAGCCCATCCCTGCTCTTTCCTCGTGGCAGCGAGACGGCTTAGACTCAGATGAGGCTCGCCTTTCCCCACAGGCCGGTCGCTTAATTCGCCAGCTTCTGGATGAGGACAGCGATCCTATGCTGTCCCCTCGCTTCTATGCCTATGGGCAGAGCCAACAGTACCTGGATGATACAGAAGTGCCTCCTTCCCCTCCCAATTCTCATTCCTTCATGAGGTGGGTTGTGATTTGTCTGTGCTGACTCCGCCACTTAGCTGTAAAGGGTTTATACAGTTGCATCAAGCAACATCTCTTTGGATCACACATGCCAGATAGCTATGCTGTGTTAGGTCCTTGTTTCTACAGATGGGAAACATGCTTTTAGAAAAGTTCTTGGTAAACTATTTGTCTGTGGGTTTGTGAATTAATATCTAGGGAGTTGGTGTTGCTGAAAGAGGCTGCTAGAGCATCTTGTGCTGTCATTACAGAGTAGCAACATAGCATTCTCACTTCTGGGGGACTGGCCTGTGGCTGTTTGGATAAGCTTTCTGCAATCTCTGTTCTTGGTAGGAGGCGAAGTTCGTCTTTGGGATCTTATGAAGATGACAGAGAGGACCTTACGCCTGCACAACTCACTCGGAGGATTCAGGGATTGAAGAAGAAGATCAGGAGGTTTGAGGAAAAATTTGAAGAGGAGAGGAAATACAGAGTGAGTCTATAGGAATTAAGCATTTGTATGGAGAGGTATGCCTGAGCAACAAAGGGAAGGGACATCAGGGAAGTCTGTCAGACATACGGGAATCTTTAAAGCTTTTATAAGAAAAAATAAAAACTAAAAAAAAAAAAAAAAGAGCTGCTACCCCAAAAAGGAGAATGCATCCTCACCAAACAAATTAACATTCCAGGTATTAGGTGCAATCAGTGCAGCACAAGAGACAGTCTAATGAACTCATAGGATTTTGATCACTGCTAAGACAGTGTGCCAAAAAGCACACACTCAGTGTGTAGGAATAGCTGTGTTTTGTTTGTTTGCCTATTTAAATTCAGGTTATGGGAAGCACAGTTACGTATCTCATTAGAATGATGGTAATCCCAGGACACCAGCGCATTGCAGAGGAGAGAGAGCAGCCGCCTTTACTCCTGAGCAAGAAGCCACAGTCAAGTGCTGCTAAGCAGTAGCAGTGTACTGTACTCTAATTATTCCTGACGTGCCCTTCCGATGCACAGAAAGCTTTTTAAGGAGCTAAAGCTCTACATGTGTGCATCTTTGTTGGTGATCTAAACCACAAAGGTTTGTACTGAAAGGATCTTTCCTACAGTAGAAAAGGCTGGGAGAAATGCTCAGAGCTTGCTGTAGCTTAGCATTTGGGTTATTTTGGTGTCTTTGGATGTGAAGGATCTTTTGGATACACACTTTCTAACACTTCTCAAGCTGTTTATGCTAGGCTTCCTCTACTTTGGAGGTGCCCTCTTGTTAGGAAGCAGTAGACACAAGGATTCCAATGTGCATCTCTCTTCTGAGCCACTCCTACAACTCAATGTCTGCCATCAACAATTTTGTGTTTTCTAAAAAGAAAGTTAATCTCATAATGCCCCTAACAGACAGTGTTGTGACAGGCAGCAGCAATTAAAGCAAGGTCCAAAACAATATGGTCAGGAGTATGCAGATGCCATTCAGAAGCCAGTGCCCATGCTCTGTGCTGGATCCAAATTCTGTTGTACCTCTTTGTGACACATGCTTGTTTCAGTGAGTCTCTCTTGTTGGTTTAACACAGATTCAGCATGACTGTTCTTTCCTCCCAGCCTTCCCACAGCGACAAAGCAGCCAACCCTGAAGTGCTCAAATGGACAAATGATTTGGCCAAATTCCGAAAGCAACTTAAAGGTGAGCAGTCACTGACACACCTTTGGGGGGCAGCTGAACTCTGCCCCGTTTAAATCTGATGTTAGGTGCAATCACATATCACATTTTAAAAAAGAAGAATTACTCATCTTCCCCCAAATGTCCCCGTTTAGAGTCAAAACTGAAGATATCAGAAGAGGACCTTGGCCCTGTTGTGCGTCAGCGGAGCAACACGCTCCCCAAGAGCTTCGGCTCTCAGCTTGAAAAGGACGATGACAAGAAACAAGACCTGTCAGATAAATCTGCCAAGCCTGCCGTGGAAGCAACCCTTGATTCTATCCAGAAGAAGCTTCAAGAAAAACGAACAGAGACAAACCGACCTGAAGATATTAAGGTACAATGTAGAGAGACCAGATTTAGGCCTTTAGCTACAAGTAGGTAACTCTTGGCTGCACAGTAACTTACGAAAGCCTTCTTGTGAAATGTCTTCTACATTTTGTCACAAAGTCTACAACATTTACGCCTGGCTCACTTGCATTGGTTTCTTTCCTCTGCTTTTAGTATCCGACTTCTTTTTTTTCCAGAGCTCAGTTTCTGTTGAATGTCATCATATGTTCTTTCTCTGATCCTTGTATATTCCAAGCAACATTTCTGAATTACTGCAGTGTTTCCTGCCCTGTATTTGGCTATTTCTGTTGTTATTTCCAAAGGCTTTTAACAAATTCTGAGTCTTCCAGTGATTCTGGAGATCGGGTATCTGTTTCCTTCTAGTTCACTCCACAGCTGAATGCTCTTCTTTCAGGGCATTTTATTGCTACTCTTCAGAGTTTCACATTGAGCTCTGCTAGCTGCTGTAATCTCTGAGGGTTATCAGCAGGAAGGTCTTTGTGTCTGAGGTTTGGGCAGCCCTGTAAGTGAAGTCCTTGAGTCTGCTGACATGTAAACTGTCCAGTGCTTTGCAAGAGAGGGGCACACAGCGTTGTCTTTGTTTACTAGATCTGCAGAAGATGATTATACAAACAATGTGTGTTTGGCTCTTCTCTGATAGTAGCAAGAATCCACAGCCTGGCCTTTAAAGAGAGTCTGTGATAGTATTTGGTGCTGTGTTAGGGAGAGAAGGCTCAGTGTCAGGCAAGTTCAGTGGGGGAACTCTGGCAAACTTAAGGAAGTCTCCAACTGTCTGCCCTTTCTTTGGCTTGGTCCCCTCAGCCTGTCTGCCAGAGCTTTTCACAGCAGAACTGGCAGAAGGAAACAGTCTGACTGCACTTTAGTTTATGGTAAAGTATGTTTGTGGCAGTCAAAGCAAAGATGGCAAGCTTTGCAAGAGATACTGCAGCTTGTCTCAGATTAGGAGAAAAAGATCATTTGTTTTGTTGTAGAATTTACACTTTGGAACTTCACTGAAAAAGAGCCACCATCATTAAAAGTTGCATACTGTTTTTTTTTTAAAAGCATACTGATAGTTGATAAATTCCCATTATGTATGTAGAATACCTTCATATGCAAAGTTTGTTTTTAATCTGACTGCATTGTGCAGAGGGTGCCATTCATGTTAACAGTCTCTTTTGCAGTATAGGTGGGAAAAGAGTACTGGAAAGCAGGGATGAGTCTTCAACGCATTAATGGCAAAATGTCATTACTACGGTTATGCCACAAAACAGTATTGAGTCCAGGAATCTAACTCTGGGGTTTTTTTTCTTCTTCTCTCTCTCTGTGCCACTTTTCACAGGACATGACAAGAGATCAGATAGCAGCCGAAAAAGTGGCTCTACAAAAAGCTTTGCTGTATTATGAAAGCATTCATGGCAGACCGGTATGTAAAGCAGCGGGTTTATTTCAGAGTACACCTTGGTATGTTTTGTCTATGGTAAATAATCCCCCTAATGCTCCTTTGATGTCACAGTCACTAGAACTTCTTGCTGTTCAAACCACACGTGCATCTTCTAAACCACCTCCCTGATCCTTCGCAAGTGCTATTACTGAGGAGTCTGTTCTCAGCAAGCTGATGTCTGCACACAGCACTAGGCTTGGCAGATAGCTGTAGTACAGCATAAATTGAGAGGAGATTTCATTTCTCTCCTGAAAAACAAATGTTTTTCTTCCCATGTGCCAGTGAAAGCAAAGGACATGAGGTTTCTTGTACATTCAGTCTTAACAGAGAAAAATTATTTGTGAAGATAGAAAATTAAGTGTTGTATCTTATTGATCCCTGCTGTGGCAGAGACATGGTGGCTTCCAGGCCACCTCAAGTTGCATGAATCCCTCCTCCTCTTTCACTGATTACATTATTATCTTTGCTACCAACTGATAGGTAAAGTAACTTAGTTTCCGAGTGTTGCTAATCCCTTGAGCAGTGGCTTGGGAGCAGCAAATTACTGCTTATAAGGAGTGCTTGATGAGTGCAGCTGACAAATCTGTCATTCTGCTGCCACAAGGGATTCTGATCTCCTCCTTTTGCTCCTGAATTATTTCATCTTTTGTCCATTGTTTTAAGAAAAGCTCACTAATTTTTTTAAATGCCTTCATGAAGTGCTAATAATGTATAATCATATATGCCAGAAACTGAAAACAGCAAAGTTGAGTGAGAGGACATGCGGTTTTATTCTTGTGTAAAACAGAGAAAGGCCAACATAAGGGAATCCACTTCATCTTCCCTCTCTTCTTCATGAGACACAGTTTGCTTTTGCTGCTTTTACAATCACATAAATCAACAGGTGGCATCTTGAAGTAAACTTAATTAAATCTGTTTAAAAAGAAATCAAGTCCAGAGCCTAACTTGTCAGTGTATCTTTATTCTTTCTCCTCTTTCTGATGCTTTATTTATACAACTGCTTTTCAATTTGTTTTTAAGTAAGCAGTCTATACCTAGCAACACTGAACTGCATGGCAAGGAAGACTGCAGCTGATCAGCTTTTTCTGTTCCCAGCTCCTGGCACTGCAGCAGTGGAAAAGTACTGAGAGCTTGAGGAGAATGGGGATAGTTCAGCCAAGTTGTTTTTTTTTCTTAAAGATATTTAACTAAACAAGAAAAACAATGGAGCTCGGATTTATTGTGCAACTGGGTCTTTCTGCACCAGTTAAAGATGAACCTGAAAAGGTGGAACTGAACTGTTTTAGTTAAGCCAAAAAGTTCATCTCTGCAGAAATTCTTGAGCAGCTTTAACAATGCAAGCAGTGGTCTGCTGCTCAGCTGCTGCTCTTTTGCCATGTAGAGTGTGCCCCAGTGTTGTGTCAAAGGCTCTATTATTCCAACAGTCTTTTTGCATTTTGATGTTCTCCCAAAATATACTCAGGTTTTGCTGGTATTACTTATGTTTACCTAGTGAGACAGTTTGGCCATGTGCTCCACATTTTCTCTCAGTTAAGAGTGCTGTAAGTCAGTGGTGTAAGTCTGAAAGGCTGAGTCAAGCCCCATATCCTTAACTCCCAATGCCTAAATTAATTACCTTCGTTCTTTCTCCATACTGATACTCAGACACCGATGTGTGTATTTTAATTTTTCCATTCTTCAACATAACCTACAGACTTTTTGCCCATTCCAAGGCTTATGTTTATTTTTCTGTACAGAGCATTGCTATTTATTGACTTTGAAACTTTGTTAATTGAAGGTTTGGTTCTCAGCCTAAGCCTCAGCATAGTCTTTTTAAGTCACAGAGACTGTATGAGCCAACAGCAGTGCTGTGCCTCCTGTCCTATTAACTGCTAACCTAGTAAAGCTAGGAATTATATATATTAATATATATAGGCTACCCAGTTTCTCCAGTTGTGTTCTTGATTGTTTGCATAGAAGTGTCCAAAGTTGGAGGCAACTTGCTAGCCAGTGAAAGTGAATGCAGATACATCAACACAAAACTCAGTACAGAGAGGGCTGAGTGAATTGTTTGATACTGCTCACATCCCTCTAATCCATGTGAGCTTCTTAGTCAACGAACAGCCAGCTTGAGGCTGTCAGGTGTTGAGGCCAGCCTGTGCTTCAGAAGTGGGGGACAAACAGGCCCTAGAGCTCAGACTGCCCGTCTGTATGCCTCTTACCAGGCTTTGGGATGTTTGCACTGAGCCCAGAGAGGAATCAAAAGGTCTTCATCATCCTTCCTCCCTATTCATCTGCTCCCAACATAAGAAACAGGCATAGTTATCAGGAGGAAGGTGTTATCTCCAGATTCTTAGTGTTCATCCCAGCCAGTCCCACTCCTGGCAATAGTTACAACTATTCTGCCCCTTGCAAACCCACAACCTCTCCTGCTGTGGAGGGAGGATGTGAAAGCTTTAGAAAGCTTATTCCAGTGAAAGTCAACTGCAGACAGTTGCTTTTAAAATTTTCTCCCTGTCTCAAGCTGTGTTCCCTCTCCTCCTATTTCTCTTATAGAAAGGGAGACTGTGCAAAGCTCCCTAGAGTTTACACTGCTGATGTTGATTTTTATATGGCAGCCATTCAGATGCTTTGGTGACTAGCAGCAGTAAAAAGCCTTGAGGAAGATAGGCATGACATCAGAATCAGTTAAAGCTTCCTCTCATAAGAGCTTTATAATCTAAAGTTAGACAAAAGGTTTAATGGAAGGACAGTCATAGGATGTGGGTCAGACACTGCTGAATACAAAGAAAGATGATGATCAGCTTGGTTCTGCTGAGTATTTTATTTGCTTGGTTTTTTAACTCTGCTATAAGAAAACATTGAAGAAATAACACCAAGCTTTCTCACTAGTATGTAGTTGAACAGGCCTTTCTTCCACACACTAGCTACTGTCTGTGAGGTCTTCCCTTCTCCTGCACAGTCAGTATTGCTGAAATTTTTGGTCTAGCTTGGATCTGAAAGAAAACCAGAAATGAACACTCACAGTTTGTAATGCTCTTAAACTGAGGAGGAAGCACAAGTGGAGTTAGGGACAGAATAATGTAAGGAAGGCTTGGGGTGGCATTACAACATTCTGTCTTCTCTATGCCATGCAGCTCTAGCACCTTCATCCTTCTCAAATCTCTGGTAGCTTCTCCCCAACAGGGTTACTGGGAGGAGAGGTGGAGGGCAAGGCTAGGGAGTTAAAAAGATGAAGAACTGCTGGCTTGGATGGGAAATCAGGAGGAATAGGAAAGCTGGAAAGTCAGCTTTTGTGAAATCTGTAGTTTAAGTTACCCTGGGAAAGTCTCCTTACGTTGCAGTATCTAGTCATTGCAGCTCCTTTTTCTTTTCAGGGGTCATAAACACTGCCTCTGAGGTCCCGGCCACAAGAATAGGGGTGGGAAACGTCATGTTTTGCCTTGAGATGGTAGACATGATTACAAGCACAGACCACTGCCTTTACAGTTCATTTTTTGCTGTGGATATGTGATTTCCTGAGTTGGTCATTTAAACTGTCTGCCTCATACAGCCACATTACAAGATGCGCCAAAGCTCTGGTGCTTCTTCATCTGGCACCTGGAACAGATGCAGTGACCTACACAAGCACTTGCATGACCAGTTTCAGGGCTAATGCTGCTAATCTCTCACCTTCATGAAATCCCCTTCAAGCCCTCTCTGCCTAGTAGCAATCAGAGGCACATGCATTAAGGAATGGAGTATCTGCTGCAAGCTTCATGGATCTCTCTTCTTTTGCCTTTTTAGGTTACCAAAAATGAACGACAGGTGATGAAGCCATTGTATGACAGGTATCGCTTGGTCAAGCAGATCCTCTCTAGAGCCAACACCATCCCTATCATTGTGAGTAGAATATTCTTTTGGCGGCTGTTTATTTCGTTTAGAGCTGAGGAAACAGGAATCACCACACTTTTGCATACAACCCAATTGCTAAGGCCAGGTCCTAACCTATCTTATCACTCAGAGACCAAGCAAATGAGTTAACCAATGACTCACCGTATACTGAAGTTGGGCAAAGCTGGTCAAGGGACTCTGGTGCCCACCATGAGCCATGGGGCACATTTCACCTTGTATTGTTTCTTCTCTTTCCATTGGGCTGCTGCTGGTATTTCATCATCTTGTGTTTGGCTACAGCCTCACTTCCCTTTCCTTATCAGTCCACTCTGACCTGCAGGTCTTACATGCTGCTTGGCTATGCAGGATTGTGTGTCAGGAGCACAGACTTGTGTGGGTCTGGGTCCCGCAGGACATATCAGTCTCCTTGGCTGAGAGAAAAGGGGCAACAGTCTCCAAACACTTTGTTTGTATTAAAGAGATCCTGCAAGTGGTGAATATTCCTTCATTCGAGGTGGTGCTTTGGCAAGGAGGCACTGCCACCAGCAAGGAATCCAGTGCGCCCCTCTAGGGAGCAAATGCACTATGTCTAATTTCAGACAACTTGTGTAGGTTACTTTTAAAAAGTTTTTTGATCTAAAAAGTACACACAGAATACTTTTAGCTTGTCTGTGGAAAGAGAACTGTTTTATCATGGTTCCCGTTTATTCTGTCATGTATTATCCTTTACCTTTTTTTTTTTTTCTGTTCACAAGTAGTGCTCATATCCTGGCCACTTTTCATAGAGCACCAGTGAAGTGAATAGACTGACATGGCATTGCTCAGTACATTCACACTGAGAAGTGTTTTTTTCTGCAAAGAGAGGGAGGTGGTCCTGCATTTAAAAGAAAAAAAAGCTGTTACTCCTTGAATATGCAAAGAACTCCCTAAAATGTGTGCTGTGAAGACAGTGCTGGCAATCAGGAAATAACATAAAGTTTAACATAAAGTTCTCAACACACAGTTCTGTTCCTGTTTAGACACAAAACTGGAATTGCACAGTGGCTGGCAGAGGAGTGACAAGACTGGCTTTCCCCAGCCCCTTAAGCAAGAACAGTGAGAGGCTCACGCAGAGGCAGGATATGTTTGAAAATACATCCCTACATCAGTAGGCACTTTAGTGGGAAATTGGGCTCCTGGAAAGCAAGCCTGTAGAGTCTAGGTGAGCTTACACTGTAGCTCTGGAGAGCCAACCAAATGTTGTGTGTATGTATGGGCCTCTGGCTGGGGATTGTTTTCTTGCAGCCTTTACTTTGTAGTTCCTGCCCAGCTGGTATTCCAGTATCCAAGCTTTTTCCTTAAAAGTGTTTGGCGATGATGTCCCTTGCTAAGCAACATCCTGAGAGAAAATGGCCCAATGTTTTGGGGATTTACCAGGCATGCTTTTGTCCTTTAAGAAATATCTTTCTCCTGGTGGTCCAGCAGTGAGCTGAGAATGAATGTGTGGATGAGAATGCGCTGAGAGCAGGTGGTGGAGGAGAAAGGGGTTCATAATGTAACGTACTTGTTAACACCTGTCACAGGGTTCCCCCTCCAGCAAGCGGAGAAGCCCTTTGCTGCAGCCAATTATCGAGGGCGAAACAGCTTCCTTCTTCAAGGAGATAAAGGTGAAGACCTCCAGCTGCTAACTAATTGCTCAGTTTGAATCAATTTCCCCCTTATACCAATGAAAGAGAATGGTTGTTTGATACTTTTTTTCCATCAGTGTCGTTTTTTTGCAGTGTCCTCCTGAAAAATCAGTAGCTGCTTTAAGCCTCGCCAGTTCTGATCAAATTCTTCCCTTGTAGATAAGACTACAGTATTTCCTTTGCACTCTTTTCCACCCTTCTCCTTCCCCCTCCGCCTGCACAGAATAGATTTTATTTTGCTCTTTAAGAAAAAAGATCACAGTTCCCTTTGTACCTTGCTTTTTTCTTGCTTCCCTCCTTTCTTTTAATGACACTAACTTGTTCTGTGGTAGTCTCTCTCACTCCAAAGCTCTGCGGTTTGCACACAGCACCATGGCAAGAATGAGCTCTCACAAAACTAACACTCGCACGTGGAACCAACTGGGGCACTTGCGGGATCCTTCCCTACTACCATTCACGTGCTTATTTTATCCAGGGCTCTTTGTCATCACCTTGTGAAGGGTATTTCTGGGCAAGTCACGTGAGGACAGAAGAAAGAACAGCTTGGTTCTGTTAGTTAATGCTTAGTCAGATTTGGATGGCAGGATTGTTGTGTTTCTTTCTCATGTTGCTGTGGGGTAGTAAGTCTGGGTGGCTGAAGACTGCTGTGATATTGGTCCTTCTTCCCCTCAGAAGAAGGGAAGTCTGGTGTTTGACCAGGACATGTAGCATGGAGCTGGGCCCTGAATTGCTTTTTCCCCTGTTACACTGCAAGAGTAACAAAAAGTACTTCAGCACACTTGGGTCATTTTTCTGTTATCCAGCCAGAGTTTGGTTAATGGTGTAAATACTGCAGACCTAGACATCCAAGGTGGTTTGATTATGAAGCAGTTATGGTAGATTGGATATTAATGGACTGCTCAAGGCATGTATTCATTAGATGCAGGTTGCAGACTGAAAATGTTAAGCTTCTGTTTGGAGGCTGGTTAATCACCGCTGAGCTCTTGGTGTTTTCTAGATAACTGTTGGATTGAAACTGTAATAGAGGTCTGGTGGGGGCTGTTTGTGTTTATTTTTTTCTATTAGCGTGTCCTCTCTTTTTCACCTATGCTTGCACCCAGAGTCAAAACTTATAGCTATCAACTATGATCCTTGACCAGTATGGCTGGTGCTGCATTGTGTCAGCTCAGCAGTGTCCTGCAGAGAATACAAACCTTGAGAGATTTCTGACTGAAGATCAGGGTGACAGCCTTAAGCCCATTTACGCTTACATGCCTCTTAACGCTTAACTGAGGCACTGTGAAGCTTTATGGGGCAGCACAGAACTGCACTCAGAACTAAAGAGAGGAAATTGCCAAAAGGCCCCAGAAGTTACCCTCTGCATAGGTCTACTATGGCCAGAGCACTGCCTGTCTTGATGAGCCCCTGACACTGTTCACTGCCAGGTGTTTTGGGTTTTGGTTCTCTTTTTTTTGAAGCATTTGGGAGAGTTGGATAGAAGCTTGAAAGGTGATTTGAGGTGAAGCCTTTGAGGTGAAGCCTTACCAAACATCTAGGTACGATATCTTGAATATCGTCTGTGTTAAAAAAATTCCTTGGGAAGCTTGCTTGCTGAGAGTGCTGATGATGGGATACTCTGGAGATTTTATGTTTGTAACTCTGGAAAATTTAAATGCCTCGTGATTGCTTGAAGATCCAAGCAGGTGCAAGCCAGATGGATCTAGTCAGTGAGGATCGTTCTGGTTTGAGGTGTAAATGCCAGTGCAGGTTTAAAATAGGATTCCCATATGAGACTTGCTTATAGTGAAGGCCTTAGATGGCTGTTTCCATTCAGATTCTTGCTAAGAATCCCTTTAATTCACTCCTTAAACAGCAAAATGCTTTAAGAGGTCTTGTGACAGCAAGATGTACTGTTTTGGCACTGAGGTCTAAACAAGTGAAATTTCTACACTTTCTTTTCCTCCCATGGGCTTCCATTGGCAGAAGGTTCGCTCCTGAGCTCTGGGCCAGAGTAATCATTGCTGGCTTGGGCAGTGTGCTGATTCCCTGTAGTGAGGCAAGCAAGATGGGCTCATGAGCATCTGTGGGAACACACCTCACATGTGTCCTTGGGAGCAGTTTGTCACACTGCTTCCTTTCTCTCCAGAAGTGGAATGCAGAAGCAACTTACTCTCCCAGGAAAGGGCACAGGAGCTCCTCTTTTGGTGCCAGAGAGATTCCCCTAATACAAAGCATTGTATTTTTACTGCTTAGATTGATTTAGCAAATCTTCCTCCATGCCACAGCAGGATCAGTGTTCTCCTACTGTAGCTGGAGTTGCTCTTACCTGACAGGGCAGGATGGCATGCTCGAGGGCCAGTAAATATGGTCTCCACTCTCCAGCACAGACTGAAGATGTTTGCAGGGTTTAAGAACAGTAGGTGACTGCTGGTTTTTATGCCTTCTGTTTAAACAATATCATTTACATTTAGAGAAATGGTCTTATCTAATCATATGTTGAGTATTGCTTTAACTTTCACAAGTTCCCTGCAGATATTCCTGAGATGTATTCAAACTTCTCTATATCTGTTACTATTATTATTATTATTGCACAGAACTTCTCCCCAGCTAATCTTGTTTTGAATCTTCAAGCCTCCATCTTGGTTGTAATTCTCAGCCTGTTCGAATTGCACTTTCATGGCCTAGAGCTTTAACATAAAAAGAAAATTCTGGGCAAACACTGATTTTATGTAGATGTTTTTGTTTAAAAGTCAGTGACTTTAAGGATTTAATGGGACTATGGTAGGTCCTAATGTTAATTTCTCCAGTTTTGCTTGAAATATGGAAGCAATCTCTTAAGAATAGTTAAACCATTCACAAGGAATCACATGAAAAAAAAAAGTAAAGAAAATGGCTTCTTTGGTCCCAGTACAGCAATACGGTTTTGCGTATGCTTGAAGGCTTCAGTGATACTAGCCCTCAAAAGCTATTAAGGATATGCATGTGCTTAGGTCCTTCCTGGCTAGAGTTACGTAGTTGTAAAGTAAATATATACACCTACGTACATACTTGAGACTTACTGTCCATGCTGACACTGATTACCTTCCTCTAATGCTTATGCCTCATTCCTTATGTTAAAGTTGAAATCTGCCTTCTAGCAATGTCTCTGCATGTCAGAGAAAACTGGGCCCTATTTCCTGACAATCCAAATGATTTCTGGACAGTGTTGCAGGGCAAGCCCTACATTTGAGACTGCTGTGAATTATGAATTAGCACAAGTACCAGCTGCAGTGAGGACTTTCAAATCTTGTGCCTATAGATTTGAATACAGCCAGTTCATCACTGTACTTCGGGAAAATCACACTGGACAAAGTGTTTCCAATTTTTGATGTAGTCCAGCTAAATGGTACAGACCTGATGTTGGGAACATGTTAGCAGCAGCAGTGCTTTTACAGTCAATCATAACCCACATTTGGACCATTGAAACACTGATCTGAGCTCATTGATAGCACTGTATGGGCATTTGAGGTCTTGAATTCAGCCATTAGAGAGAGCTGTTGAGCTGCATCTATTGAGAGAATATTTCGCATTTTAATTTGGCAATCTGTATGCTGCCAGGTGTATTTGTAGGGAAACTTAGATGGCTGGTATGCTTTATACAGTATGCATAATGGCTGTAAGTGGTTTTATTTACATCAGAATACATAAATTAAGCACAGCAACAGGTTGCTAAGAACCGCAGATATTTTTCAGTCAGTTTTGTTGCCACCAAGAGTTTGTGGTTGCAGTTTCTCTGACATGCTTTGGATATAGGGTGTCTTATTAATGGTCTTCTGGTGTCTGTATTGCTTGGCAATTGAAGTGCTTGCTCTGCCTATCCACTTCTTTTCATACCTGTTCCCCAGTGCATGTGGTGAAAGGATGTACCTGTTCTGAGAAGGGAAGCAGTAACCTGTTCTGTTATGGGGGTGCTCTGTCCCTCTCTGTAGGAGGAAGAGGAGGGGTCTGAGGAGGACAGCAATGTGAAGCCAGATTTAACAATTACCATGAAAACAGATTTCAACGTGCGTAGCTTCTTCGATCAACTAGAAGATGATGCTGACGGCTTTGTTTCACCGGTGGATGATAAGATGCCATCTAAGAACAATCAGGATATGGGGCTTTCAAATCTCCATGAAGCATCCATGTATGTTGAATTCACAGGCAACTCTAAAAGTTCTTTCTTGCTGAGATAGAATTTCATTTGTCAGAAAAGCGTCTAGATTTGGTTTTTCCCATTTATGATCTGAGTCAGAAGTTTTTGTGCTTTATTTTTAAATGCTATAGACCTTCATTTGAAAGGGTTTGGAAAGAAACTGCCTTGTCCTGAAGCTGATGCTTGACTTCTGCATCTTTTGGATTCCAGCACTAAATAGTAGCTCCACTTCACCAGTGGCAAGCCTTATAATGAAAACAACCCTGTACTCTACAAGGTTTTTGAGGTTTTGGAGAGGTCATGTTGAACTAGCTTTGCTAGTTTCAAGCAGCTAGGTCTGATACAAACACATGTAGGTGGGTAGCCTGAAGTTGTGACCGTTGGATCTTGATCTTATAAAAGTCACAAAACTCAGATCCACCTTCAGCAAGTAAGTTTCATTCAGTGAATTGTGAAATTCACACTCGACCTCCTTAGAGGCTTCAGCTTAAGTCTGTGACTGTTTTGCTGAAGTAAATTCAGAGAGCTTTTTGTTGCAAGTAACATCAGGTTGGCAGAGCTGCTTGGAGGAGCAGTTCCATTGCTTGGCATACCTACAACCATACATTTGTAGATTTATTCTGTGTTTCCTGTTACAACTGTGGACATATGTATGATCCCATTTATATTTAAACCCAACAGCCCTGAACTGTTAGAGCAGCTCCAAGAAGTCAGGGAGGAGAAAAAGCGGATCAGAAAAAAATTGAGAGACTTTGAAGATAATTTTTTCCGACAGAATGGAAGGTAATAATTCCTCAGCTGTCTCTGTGTCCTTCAGCCACTTTCAGTCTGTTTGGCAGCTACAAAGACCTCCAAATATGGAAAGTTACCCAAATTCACTGTTACATATTGCTTCATCAGTGGTTTACCCACATTTGTAACAGTTGCCCATTGATATGGATTACTTCCCCTTCTCCTCCCCACCGAGGAACTTCAGGGACCACAGCCTCTTTGAAAACTCTGTCTTGGGACAAGCCAGTGGGAAGCAAAAGTACAGATTGTGATAATGCAGCTGCCTCTAGCACAGCTGACAGGAGTGGTGGAAGTTTCTCAGTGACAGACTACCGGGGGATTTTCCTCATGATGTATGTTTAGATTGTGTCCTGTTCTTGCTTGTCCGTGAGGCATTCAGACACTAGTTTAACAATCATTTCTTCTTGTGGCTGGCTTTACTGTTCTTAGAAAATGCCCCTCATTAATAGAATGTTTTAATATATTTATACTCAAACGATATTGTTAGTTTCTTGCCACCAGCCATCATCCTTAGAGGTTCTTGTAAAATCATTGAAAACTTAAAAGTTTCATGTAAGCTAAGAGAAATCTAATTAGGTATCATCTTCCCCTTCATGCATGTTCATGTAAGTGATGTGGTACCAAGCCAGGAGTAGCTGCATGTTGTTTTGCCATGCTAGCAGGCTGACATTCAGCTAGGTCTTTTAACTGTTGTGTGGAGGCTGGTGATTCCAGAGAAGCAGGGAATGCTTTGGATAAGGTTTTACATTTGGAACCATGGGATTGTGTTCAGCCTCAATGTGCAAGTATCCCAAAAAATGCTGGAGCTGTTTGTTTGCCCTTCTTCTTTCTTTGTTCCCCTCAAAGGACAAAAGTTTAGTTCTTGTTCCCTGAAGGGAAGTGGAGGAGAGGAGCTGCTTTGTAGGTCTTGTTGGGGGACAAAGGGAGGCTGTTGAGGGAAGATGTCCTCTCACAGAAATTCTCATCATCTGCTTTCACTCCCATAGGAATGTGCAGAAAGAAGACCGCACTCCAATGGCTGAAGAATACAACGAGTACAAGCAGATTAAGGCCAAGCTGAGGCTGCTGGAGGTCCTGATCAGTAAAAGAGATATTAGCTCCAAGATCATGTAAAGGAAAAGATTATTCTTGCCGGTAAACAAAGAGGACAGAGCACCAAATGGACAAATGCGTAAAGTGGATGCAGTGGGAGCCTGGCTGGGAAGAGCTGAGGAGCAACCTGGGAACTGATGGGCCATTCCCAGAGGTGGGAGGGTGAAGAAAGGTGGCTTTCTCTACACTTGCTGTTGCCCACTCTTTCTCCAGGCCTAATGCCCAGAATGGAGTTTGCCAGTGTAGGAGACATGATGCTGCACTCAGTGACTGCACTGAAGGGATCCTTCTGTTTTGATTTGCTTACAGATCCTGTAATATGTAGAGTATCAAAGCCAGTCATGCTATTTTTTTTCTCCCCAGGATATCATAGCAAGAGGCACAGTAGGATGAATAGTGATTAAATCATCAAATAGCTTCTACTTTCTTTTAACAGACAAGTGCCCTGACTGATCTGATGTGAAGGCACAGGCCAGATAGTGCCAAGACTGTTCTCTTGTAGCTACAGTAAAGATTTGCTCAGACTTTTGACCTGACTGCTTGGAGTCCAACATTTTCTGTTGCTCTAGAGAAATGGTGCAAGAATCTCCCAGTCATCACCCTGAGCTGGTATGACTCACAGTTTTGTCCAGGCTTGAGTTGGGTTATCTTGATGGCCAATTCAGCTGAAGTAGAAGAAAGTACCTACATCTGCTCTGGATAGCAAAGAAAATGAGCTATGCAGCAAGGCTCTTGCTGGCTTGTTCTGCTTGGAAGGTGATACTGTAACTTTATGACCATGTTTGGGCAATTGGGAAGAAAAGAGGTTTTAAAAGCTTTAAGTCAGAATCCCTTAGGATTTTGGTAGCTGATCGGTTATTTAAGATGTCAAGTATCTGGAAGACTCATCCCATTAGGACATGTGCTTTATCATGTGGTACAAACAGAAGAGTCTAAGCTGGACAGTTCATGTGGGTGTCATACATACTTGCTAGCATAAATTTTGTTCTTTTATGTACACCATCAGACTCTGGGCTGCAGCAGTGACACTGTTTCGGTGGCAGCAGGGGTTGATCTTCTCTTCCTGGTGTGTATAGGTGGGATACCAGCACAGAGCATACTGTGGGGAACCAACAGCCTAGAACCACACTCTGCTTGTGAAAAGGGCCCGTGTCTCAGGTGTAGGTTTTGACAATTCAATGTTTTCAAATTCATTTATGAATGAAATAAAGAATTATAGAATGGTTTGGGTTGGAAAGGACCTCAAAGATCATGGGCAGGTAAGCCTTCCACTAGACCACGTTGCTCCAAGCCCTGTCCAACCTGACCTTGAACATTGCCAGGGATGGGGCAGCCACAAATTCCCTGACTTTCAGAGCAGAAAGTCCTGGACACCTCGTTTGTGTCAAACAGATGCTGCCTAAAGAGTGCAAGATGGCAAGGTCAGGGATGCACCAAGTAGCTGAGGGCTCACAGTTCTGCAGTCCCAGGCCATTTGGGCTCGCTTCTCACTCCAGAGGCTTGCCTGCATCCACTCAGTCTGCCCTGAGCCAGGGCTTGACCCTGATGTCCCAGAGAGAGCATCTCTGTAACGCTTTTTCTTTGGCATTGACCCCCGAGGGAGCTAATGTGCAGAAGCCAAATGGCTGAGATCAAATACAGTGCCAGTCATTGTAGCCAGGCCTGACACAACACATACTGGAAGAGGCAAAAAGAAGACTCACAGAACAGCTTTCCTCCTTCCTTCTTTACATGTGCAAGTGGGCTCATAAATACATGTGTTTGGGTTGTGGTACTCAGACTCACCCCCTTCCACTTGCTGTATGTGCTGTGTTAATTCCTTGCCAAAACTGGTGCTGTTTTGGTCTCTTCAGAATCCCATAAACCCTTCAAAAGGCAACCTTCTCCAAGTGGGTTTGTACATGCCCATTACTAGTCTGGATGGGTAAGGCAACGATGTGTGTTAATTATGAATGAAAGCACTTAGGAAGGGGGCTCCAAGGTTGTTTGCTTGGTTTTAATTTGTTTTACTGATTGCAGAGTTGCCTGTTCTATACAAAATCAGTGAAGGCTGAACTTCGTATTTCCAAAGAGTCCTGAGGACTTGTGTGCTGACCTAGGGCCTGGCTTTCCAGAGGTATTGAGTTCCCATCACCTGAGAGATGTGAGGCTCTGCCTCTGCAACACTGAGCCTTCGGATGTGTTAACTGGTCTGACAGATGGGTGCAAAACCCTCATTTGGAGATGTTTGACTGGAAGGGAAGCCTGACCAGGGTAAACCCCTGTCGGAACACAGGGCAGCCCAGGAAATCAGAGCCGTGCCTTTGTACTTCAGCCTGCTCTTATGGACTCTTCCTCTTGGAGATCACAGTTGGCTCTTCCTAGACACCTTAGGTATTTTGGCTCAGTTTTGTATTGTTCGGGCGCAGTTCAGCAAAGCAAAAACATGGGTTTTGAGTGTGTGCCTCAAGCTGGTCTTCATTTGGGATTTCGCTGAATGATGGTGGACTAAAGCTTGAATCTGGGCCTGGACATCTTTATATGGACAAGAGAAGCAGTTTCTGCCCTTTTTCATAGCTGTACATCTTTCCAGCAGGCCAAGGTTTCCCAGGAATATGTTTTCTCTGCTTACTTTTTAAAGCCTGTTTGCACTGTGTACTGATAAATTACCTGTTTTGCTGGGTTCTGCCCCTGACAAACCTTGATAAATGAATATGTAGGGAACAGTCCATTTTATTTTTAAACTGATGAGATTGTAGCATTTTCTGATGCTCAATTACCGCTGTTTACATGGTCTATTGCTAGAGTTCAGATAGTTTATATGAAATGTAAGTACAATTAATGCACTTTAGAGAGTTTCTATTTTTGAACTTTGAAAGCTAAAAGAAACAAAACCTTAACTGAGATTGTACATTAAAAAAAACAAACAAAACCCCATACCTAGCCATCTCTCTTTTTAAACTATTCTTTCCCTATGGCAAAGAAGAATTAAAATCATCTATCTGCCTGATTGCAAAGGGAGCTGCTAGGAAAGACTGTTGTAGAGAAGAAATGAGTTTTAAACTCAGAGTCCTGGAAAGACACGTACAAATGCTCAATGTTCTGTCCTGAGTTTGCAGATGATGTGACTCCCCTCTCCCAGGCCTGCACAGGAGGAGGGCTCTGAGGCCTGAGCACTAGAATGTTGTCTTTGTATCTCCCCCAGATGATTTGACTCCCCACTAACCACAAATAGCCAGAGAGGATGTTTGCCCTGCCACACACCTCTAAGTCAACATCTGTGTGTTTTGTTTGATGGTTTGTCTATGCCAACATCAGTGACTATTGACTGGAGGACATTAAATACAAGACTGTGTTTGAAAAGGTGTGAAGCACTGTACAAAAATGTACTTTATGTGATATAAATAAGCTGTTGAGTGTAAGACAACCTGTTTCCATGTCGCTAGAACAGACTGTCTCCTGTAGGATGGCAGTATGGTCTGTTGGGCTTCCCATCCACTGGGGCCATTTCAGACATGTGTGTCTGTGTGTTACCACATTGTGGTACTGTAAATCAGTGTGGTTCAGTTAAATGATGGTAATGATGAATGGGTTGTTGACAAAATGAGGTTGCAAGAATTAAAGATAGAGGGAAAACTTGTTATTCTTACAAGTTGCATTTGGTTTTATTCTGTTTACTCCCAAGTAAACAGTCAAATAATGGATGTTTATGTTCAAGGCAATGAAATTAAAGCATCTTATCTTTTAATCATGCTGCTAAGACATCGGTTGTTATTCCTGGTATGCACAAGTTTCAGAGGGTAAGAATCCTCTTTGGAGATGTTTGCAAATCTGTGCGATTCATTGGTGCTTGAAGCAAGCCACCAAGGTGAGAGCCAAGCTGTACCCTGTGACTGTTCTCCATGGTACCTGGAGGTGAAACTCATCCCTGTTGGTGGGGTCATCTGTGCCTGCTGCTGGCCTGGGCTGAGGCTGAAGTGGTGGCCAGTCACCAGGGCCATACTGGGGCTTTGTTCTTGCCCTTGCCTTTCTGGTGGCAACCAGTGTGGGTTTGGTTCATGTACATACAGGCTGTGGAGTTGTGCTTTAGCTTGTGCTCCAGCTTACTTCATTGTTTCTGTCCCAGATCTATTGGAGGGAGAATGCAAGGGCTGCTGGCTGTGGGGAAGGGAATTAGGGTCAAGACTGGTTTCTCTAAGCCGAGGCAGAGGAGAGGGGTTTGCTTGCTTATGTGCAGATGGGGAAGTTAATTTTACATTTGGAAACTGTAACAAGTGATGTTAGTGTGGGGTACACTGTGGAAAGGGAGGCTTGCTTCCTGCCTATCTCTGGACATTACCACATTCCTGAAGGGCAAAAAGGCCCTTTATCCCAGTGGATGCACTTACAAAGCACCTTCTGGTTTGGCAGAGGATGCCTATTCCAGCACTGTCGCCTGCATGTGTTGCTAGAACAAATGCTGTTAGCACCAACAGCATCAGCAGAACCAGAGCAAAACCTGGGCCCTGCATTTGTTGCATGTCTGGGCTGATTTCACAGTTGTGTGCTGGGAAGCGACTGTATTCATTTGCCTTTGGGACGCGTTGCAGTGGTTCATGTGCACAGACCATGCCAGAGCCTAACCCTGTAGCTGCTGGAGTTAACCATCTTCCTCACTGGCAGCAGCGGGAAGACGACCCTTGGGATGAGGCGTGAACTCGGTACGTGTACCGGCACTTGCTGGACTCAGCTCTTCACAGTCCTTTGCCGTGTGCTCTGTGACGCTGCTCTGACTGCACAATCTGTGTGTAGAGAGGGAAATCTGTGTCTGTCTCACCTAACTCCCTCTCACTCCTCTGCAGTTGTTTTTCTTTGCTGCCTCTGTGATTCTTGCTCAGGAGGGAGCGAGCCGTATTAATGCTGAATGTGACAACAGGCTGGTAAACAGGGCTTACCTGGGGGGTTCAGGGTCAGAGCAGCACTGTTTCTGCAGGGGATTGCCCATGCAGACATTTAAACAGTACAAACAACAGCTGTTCTCCAGCTGTAAAAGGGTAAATTGAAGAGACAAGTGCTGAAAAAACCCGAGGGAGCCCATTCTCTGTAAGTGCAGTCAGTGAAATCCCAGCCCGGCTGAAAGCCAGCGGTGCCGTTGGGTTTGCAATAGTGCTCAACAGCGCGGCACCATTTCTGTGGGGTTTTTCACATCCCGGGTGCTGAAGTTGGCCCAGCCTCGGCTGAAAAAGTGACAAAGGGCACTTCTTGGAAACGATAGAAGACTGAAACTGCCACAGCCTGGCACAGCTACGGCCGAGAGGCAACGCGCAGAGCTGCAAAGTGTGCGTGGCCCAGGCTGGCACTAAGCAGGATCTCCCCTTTCTCCTTTGGGGTTTACTGAAGTGCTGGTGCCTGTGCCCGTCACAGCGTGCAGCATCCAAGGCCCGATGTGAGACACACAGTTTGGCTGTGACCAGCCCACCTCCACCCCATGTGCCTTGGTGCCCGCACAGTAAGAAAACTCATGGAAAACCATGTAAGAAGCCCTTGCCCTTGGAGCTGGACGTAGAGCAGTGTCTCCAGGTATCAAGAGGGCAGGTGAGTCTCACCAACCGCTCCTGGCACTTGCAGCACTGTGTTGGACACTTGCTGGAGCTTCTGGGTTCAGAGTGATCTTTGTGCCTCCCTTTGCACAGCTGCATACGGTGGTGAACCATCTCCTAGTACACAGATATGTGAATACAGATACACGAATACACAAGATACACTTGCGCAAATAACTCGGTGTATACTGGCTATTTCAGTTGGTTGGAGTGCAGAAGCCAGTACAGGGTGGGGGGGAAAGGGGCTGTGTCTGACAAAAACCATAATAATCACTTTTTTTCAGACTGCAGTTGCTGTAGAAAAGCAGCCTTTTGTAGGCCATACACGGTTACAAAAACTTCAGCAAACAGGGGCCCGCATCCCTTTATGTGATTTATGTAATCAAGTTTAATATGAATCTACAGCGTGTTTTTTAAGGTAAATGGCTCAGCAACCATTATGTGTACATTTTGTATCAAACAGGGAAACAAACCCATTTTGAGTGCAGGTGTTTGGTGACAGTTTGTCACACTTGCTGCCACCAGTGGCTCAGCTCTGCTCACCCATGGCTGGGCAGCAGCAACCACCCTGCCCTTGTCCCCACGGCCTCGAGCTGCCTCTTGCCACAGTAAAGAGGAGAAGCCAGGGTGGTTTCACTCACGCCTGCCTTGAGTCAAGTACAACACTGCCCTAGGATGAGGTGCAAGGCAGGGCCTGAGCTGCACGTGCATAATAGCGTGCACACTGAAGGGGAGTTCACCCTAGCCCCCTCCTTCTCAGCTGAACATGACTGACATCTGCTAGTGGAAAATAGATATGTGTAGGTGTGCATGAGGTATAAATATAACTATGCATACACTTTGCATGTATATATTGCATAAGAGCATACACACTTCTGCATATTGTGCATAATTACAGAGACATCTACAGTAATACAACACATGCAATACACTATGTGCACAAGACACTAAACACAATATATATTCTATATACACTATTATAAAACTGTGCAGACACTACCCAATTATACAATACACATCACAAAGTATACACACTTTATTGTGTTCCTAGAGAACAGGATTATGCACATACACCCATCAATCCTACCCAGCTCCTGTGTGTTTACCTGCATGGCTGAAGGCAAAAGAGACCAGCACCCTTCCTCCACAAGCTCAGGAATGCTGAAGCCATAAACCTAAATGATGGAAGTCCTGTATTAAACTAGTAATTAACTACACTTGCATACACTAATGCTGTCCCACAGTGCTGCAGGTAGTGGTGACTCCCCAGGTTAACAGGGCAGCCCCCAACCTGCGCCCTGCCTATACCTGCAGGGCTGGACAGGAGATGCCAGAGGACCCTGGAGCACCCTTGGTGGCCTTCAGTGTTGTGAGGTGTGAGGAAAGAAGGAGCATCATGAAGGATGTGGGGATTAAGGACAGGGATTGACAGACTCAGGTTTGCCCTCAATTCCTCTTCCACTGAGGACATGCCTGATGGGTTGAGCCTGGACAGGAAGATAAAACTCCTCTTCCTGCTCTGTCAGCGGCGACAGCTTCCCACCACAAAGGCAGCCATTCAGTCAGAATTAAACATCAGATTTATTGCATAATACTGTACTCTGTACACACACATTGAAAATAAACATTTGATATAATTGTATATTTGTCCTCAATGCTGCATTAGAAAGAGGCTGAGGGGCTCTGTGTAACCCACAGCTTGTCTTAAAAAACCCAGAAGCCTAAAACCTTTTGTTACGAGGTGCAAAGTTCAATACTGTCTATTGAACAGGGTGCATAAATACTATGTCCTAATAAGAAGTTAATGTCAAAACCACCCTAGGCTTAAAATGAGATTTACATCAAGACCTGAAAAATGAGGTGGGGGGAGGCAAAAGGGGGAGGAAACCATTCAAACTTCATTTAATAGAGGGTGAGACTGGGGTGGGGGAGAGGATAAAGGCTCTCCAGTCTTACAGCATAGGTTTAGGTAATGATTTTGCCTGCTCAAGACTCCTGTACGTTTCCAGTCTCATTTATAAGGATTGTCCTTCAGGGCCACCCAGCCAAACAGCTGTCAAGTGAAAGGACTCCTCTCCAACAGCAACATAAAGTGACCCTAACTGCAAAAATAAAGCCAGTCTCCACAGTTAGGGTTATCCCTCTAATGTGGATCTCACGCCTGTTTGTTTTCTGTGACTTGGTGAGACTGGAGAGCTCATACACGCCTCATACACTCACACACGTGTACAGGTACAGGTGACTCCTGAAGAAAGGTGGCAGTGGTAAGAGCAGCCCCTCACCTTGCATTGGAATAACAGCTCTGTTCAGGTAGAAAAATAGGGCTTGGCAAAGCATACGAGTCTGGCTTGTGGACTTACCCAGGTACAAACACAACGTGAGAGATGGACTTAGAGAAACCCGTTACTATAGGTAGGGTTTGTCCTTCCACAAGCCTGAACACAAACCCCACTCCAGAGGAGTCTGAGGCTTCTTTAAGGTGACACTGCTTGGAAACAAAATTTGAGACAAGTGAGGATAAACAAGCAACCCCCTCAACCACCACATTCTCCATGAGAGAGCCTGGTGCAAAAAGACACAGCATCCCTAATACACCACCCTGGGGGTCACAAATGACATCCCAGCCCAGTACCATACACCAAGAAGCAAAGGGCAGAAGGGGTATTCCTATTCGAAGCAAGCAAGAACCAGCTTGCATTTAAAAAGGGAGGAAAAAAGGGGGGGAATCACAGCTTTTCAAAGAGATCACTATTTCATCCTCAGTTTCCATCATAGCCTAAATGCAAGGAACATCAAAATATTTAAACTTGATTAAAAGGAGAGGTAAGTGTGTGTGTGCAGGGGCAATAAAAGCAAACTACAAGGAATTGCTGTCAGGGCAGTGATGTCCAGTTGGAGGAAAACAACAAAAATGCCCACTGAACTAATTTTGTTCAGCAGATGAGAAAATTCAGAGCAACAGCCTCTCCCTGTTGAAGCCCCACAAAATGATGGGGGAATCGGGCTGAGACTGCATCATCTCAATCTATTATTATTATTATTACTAATTATATCTTCCCCCCAGAGGTCCTGATCCATTCCCTTACAAAAATAAAGCCGAGCCCATTGTTTTATTCCTCCATACCCAAGTGTCTGTGCCTCTCCCACATGAGTCAAGCTAAGCTAAAGCCCTCGTAGTGGTCGATGGCTTGCATCAGCCGGGCACTGAGAATCTCCTTGCTGCTGTACTTGGGCAGGTCCAGGAGGTTGTAGCAGGTATGTGCCACGGGCAGGTACTGCTCCCCACTGGTGGTGGACTGGATGACGATGCGCAAGCTGGACATGCCGTAGATGGGAATGCGGTCACTGCCCGTCAGGAACACTGGGAGAAGCAGAGGGAAGGGTGGGCAGGTCAGGCACCTGAAGGCAAACTCCATCCCCACCTGCACTGCAGGACCCTGTCTGGAGGGGCTGAAACGCTGAATGAACTCCATACAGGGCATGGCTGGCCTCACAGGGGAGGTGCAGAAGAGCACAGGCAAGAAGCAAGGCCACTACTGGGTGCATGGATGGGAAAATCCCACAGTACCCTCTCTTCCTTTAAAAGCTCCCTCTTACCCCCAGGCAGGATAAAACAGAGCAAAGCCAGGGCTTGTCCAATGGGAAAGGCAGAGGGGGTACCCTTCCTGCTGCCACCCCTCCCCGGCACAGCACCTCAGTACTGGGACCAGGGTTGGTTCTCCTTGCTGGAGACCACCATGAGGAGGGGAGGTATCTGCTACCCTGTCACACCAATATGTGGTCTCATTTTCCTGACACATTACACACTAGCTCCTCCAGTTAGCTGACACCCTATCACTGCCCCATTACTCCTAACAAGAGTGCTGCAGTGCCTGAAAGCTCAGCTTGCAGAAGGAACCAGATGAAGCATGGGCACCAGGGCCTGCTATGAATTCACCATCTGGCAATGCCAACAGATGGATACTGCATGCCCTTGAGAGAGACTGCATTGGATCTTGCACAACAGATATAACACCCACACACCCCCCACACCCCCCAGTGATTGCGAGGGTAAAAACAAACACAAAAGACAGTATGTTTTCTCCCTCTCTTGGTCTCATCTGACTACCAGATAAGTCAGGAGATAACCACTCATTGCTGGATTACCTTCTAGCACTTAATGTAATATGCCATAACCCTGGAGCTCTGCAGACAATCCCACCTAAGTCTTCACTTTCAGGAGACTCTGCACCACTGCACCATACTTACAGAGGAATTTCTTCTTTTTTTCTAAGGGAAATGCATGGAAGGTTTCCCAAAACATTCTCACAGTTGGGTGTGTTGCAGTGTAGTCTCCCTTATAGATGGCACTCTGTTAGAAAACCAGAAGTCACGTCATTTCATCTGGCACTAGAAAGCAAAGACTCAGCAGAACCCAGACCTGATCTCTTCTGGTATCTGACATCAGACAGTTACAAAATGGAGCACAGGATGGGCCAAGGGCAATAGTATGGCTCAGAGATTCAACAAAGGGTTCTCCTAGCAATATATGGAAGAGGCATTAGGCCTCTAGGTATTCAGCGAATCACATGTGTCATGAGGAATCCTGGAGTTTCGCTTCACAGGCTGGACCCTTGGCTGTGCACTTTTTGCTCTTGTGCAGTGGAGTGAGTTTTACTGTAGGGAAGAGACAAAATCAGGGTCTTCACCTTCAGTCTTAGGTTTCATCCCTAAAAACAGCAGATGGAAGTCCTTCTCCCTTGTCCTTTCTCACCCTGAATTTCCTCCCTGAGCTTCTACAGTAGCAGGAAAGCACAGTAAGAAACTTTTCATGTGAATGATGACAAGGTATACAAGGAGCATTTAAACATGAAGACATCTCATGTCCCAGGGAGTGCCCATCTTGTGCAACTGTACAACCCTGGTACTTGTGGAAAAGAAGAAAAACAGGACAAGAGGGAAGCTTTACCTCTTCCAATTCCTCCCAGTTGTAGTTACTGTTTCCAACTATCATGGCCCTGAGCTCTGTGGGCTGGAAGAGTTCCAGGACTTTCCCACCACACACTTTCAGGAAGCCAGTGGAAAAGGCCGTGTACCATTCATGGATGGAGAGGTTGAAGATGTAATTTACGTAGGCTTCAACAAATTCTTCCCTGGTGCATCGAGAGAGAGCAGGCAAAGGAAAGCACTTTTAATCATATGCCTGAGCAGCAGCACTGTGAAGTTTTCCTGTTTCTGCCTGTAACGTGTCTTGCAAACATGGGTCTCCAACGGGTTCAAGCACCATGAGCTGAGTGCAACACTAGAATTCTATTTGTGCAATGACATTCTTGCCTGACACTCAAAAGCAGCTCACACCTGCACACAGCTTAGGGAACACCACAGAATCTGGCATCTCAGCCTCTAGCTGAGGAGGTCACAGCTGAAAGAACTATTTTGACTTTCTGGTGGGGGAATTCTCAATGCAGGTGCTATGCAAAAGCAGTGAGGGGTGAGTGAGAAAGTAAGAAATAAGGAAGCAGACTGATAAATGTTGAAAACTGGAATAAGAAATCAATCATATCGCAAAAGGTGAGTTACTTTCCAGCACATTTTATTGTCATTTTCCTGATAGTCACCTGAGCATTAGGGAAAGCCAAGCTGATTAAGCACTTAACTGTTGCTTAGTATTTCTCTGGCTGTTCCGGTCATGAACCCTTTATCAAGAACATTTTATGCTGTGACACCCCATAGGAACTCCAAAGGAGAAGGGAAAATGCAGGCATTTCCTACTTGGCATTTTCCAGTCATTCCTCAGGTCCCAGTGAACCTTCCTCAGGCAGGAAGGGCAGTGCTCAAAGATACACCCACAGCAAACTATTCAGGCCAGAAGGGCAGCAAATTGGTCCCTGGCCTCTAAACGCAGGGGTGGAGGAAGTCATTAAGCAGTGTAAGGTGAATTGATTGCCATGTCTAGACTTGGATTTAAAGGTTAGCTTGAGTTCAAAACTGTTAGTCAAGACAAAGCAATTGCATTTGGAATGTGTTAAGCCAGTGGAGCTGAACACTAGCCTTTCTCCTTAAAGAGTTTCTTCTCTGTTGCCTATCCTGACTCAAACAGCTGCAGGAGCTAGCCCGGGGGACTCTTCTCAAACACTCAGCTAAAATCTCTGTTCCTCCCCCTAGGCCAGGTATGGCACACAGTATAAAAATGGCCATTTTTCTTTTGAGTTTACATGCCCAGCCTAAAAACCTGAAGGGTACTATCACTGGCATTGTCATCTTTACTTTATTGTCACAAGTGTAGATTAAACTCCTCTTTATTTACCCAAAGCCCATCTTCTCTTTCCAGGGAGACAGACTTACACTGCTCCATTTTGGTTTGGCATGGAGGCAGTTACTTAACTGTGTAAGTGCACCCTTTTGGGCAGCAGTAAAGTAGGTAAGAAGGTAATACAGACAAAGCTTTTGTTACAGTAAGGCTTTCGACACAATCAGAACCCTTTAAAATAATCAGATTAATAGGAAATTACTTCATCTCCAGGCTTGCCAGCAAGGTCTTCAGCATTACCAGCACAAGCCCCTGACCATGCTGTTGACTAGTCACTGAATCACAGCGTTTTGCCAGCAGAGAAAGAATGTGAACACTGCTTCAAGTAATAAAGGCATTTGTTGAAATCCAATTACAGGATTATGAGAAGAAAATAGTTTAGCAGCTGGAAAAAAAGGAGGGAAATGGTAGCTGTGCTAGTAATAGCTCTCAGGTGTTCAGTCAAACAGAAAGGCATCTATGTACAGTAGGGCCTTATGACTTTGATCAGGGATGGTGGTCCTTTGTCAGGCATAGTCAAGGGAAAGTGTTTCCGGCTCCAGGATTAACAGTATATACAAGTTGCCAGGCTCAGTTTTGTTGATCACCTAACAGTTCCCTTCTAAACCGTCAGGGAGATTAACCTTCAAGGGCCCAAATCATGTTGCAATCTTTATTTAGCATGAGAATACTGCCAATGGTCTATATGAAGGCCTTTCATAGGGAAGATGTCCATCCCAAAGGATGTGGGACATCTTCCAAACACTGGTGGAAAGATGACAAAAACTTGCTTTTTATTCGAGTGCCGCTGGCACCCAGTAACTTCTAAACAACTGGTCTTAGAATTTGTTCACACTGACTTCTACCTCTCCCACATTTCCCCTCACATTAAGTTTCTGTGGCACAGCACCCACCTTCCCTGCGCGTAACAGCCCATCCTCACATATGCCCCACTTACCTATTGCCCTTCTGCACTGTAATTCTATCTCCATCTTCGATCAGGTTCTTCTGCTCTGTCACACCATAGCTTTCCCTGCAGATCTATACAAAACCAGAAAACTAATTTTACCAGAAGTACTTTTCAGGCCATACGCCTGCAGAAAGATTCAAAGTTCTCTTTCACAGTTGATGACCAATATGTGAAGGGTGGACCAGAAAAAAAGGGCATATACAGAACACTTTGCTCCAAAGGCCTGTGCGCTTCACCACCTTCCATCACTTACATTTGCTGTAGGAGTGGTACTGAGTCTAAATGCAAACTCAGAAAGGAAAAAAGTTATTCTTTTAGGTAAATTTCCTATGAAAAATAAAAAAACTTTTGTATTTCACTAAGCCCACATGCTCTGGCAATAAAAAAGACTCCCTGTTTTATAATAGAATCTCAGTAGGTTTGTTCATCCTCACTCACTGCAAGATAGCACGCCCACAGAAAGCTTCCTGCTTTCACCTGGCCTAGGCTGGCATCAGTACAAACATACAGATTCTGTACACATAAAATTGGTCACATGGAAAAAAAGCAAAAAAGTCAATTTTCAAGTTGTGCCATACACAAAAGAGGCTCAGATTTTGACATGCAAGATGAGTTCATTTCAAGGTTTGGGATATCAGTTATTATTCATTTCCAAGTTTTAGCAGATATATCTGTATGTCTTTATGTATTACGCAGCACGTAGTGCAAGAAAGAGAGTAAGAATGCCCTTTTCTAGGAAAAGAGAATTAAGGAAAAATCTCTTGCATCACTTCAACTGTATTCTTTTTTACATAGTCTGCATTATCATCATTATGGCTTCACTGCCTCCTCCTGAATTGCAGCTCTGACTTGCACGAGACACAGTCAGACCCCGGTCTGACTCACTCCAGATTTAAGTTTGATCTAAGAGATGATGTGTTCTCATTTATGAAACAAGGAAAAGGGAACCACTCTCCTAACTCAGAAAGGATTTTCTTCATAGTGTGTAGCAGTTTCCTGGTACCTTGTTTTTACCCCAGGCAGGCCCTGGACAGAGATTCAAGAACTCAGACCAAGCTCAAAATGAACACATCACTCAGAACCTGTTAGCGCATCAGGACTTTAAAAAACAAAGACATTGAAACATGGAAGCCCTACACTGCCTGAGTCAGAGGAAAACACAGCTTGGAGAATAAGGATGCCATATTTCTATGAAGTTCTAAATATTTGCACATGTTGAGAGACATACCTGATATTCCAGGGTACATCAGGATCGAACTCTTAATTTCGGGGACTCTCCACTGTGCAATAGAAACTATTGCATCTAGGTTACTGGCTAGGAAAAAAAGTACTTTTACTGCCATAGTAGCACAGGAAAGCTGACTTCCCCAGCATGTCCCTGAGCAACAGCCTCTAGCATTTTGTTTCTAAAAGTCTGACCAAGTACACTCACTAAAAACTTTTCAGTTGAAAAGCATTAAGACAGCAAGGAAAATTCTAAACAGCATCAGTATTTCAAGACTTTGCCTAGTGATGCCAAAGCCTAACTTCCATTTTCAAGGAGAATTTAGGAACCTTCTCACTGCCTAGTGTGAGAAGTTGGCCACTGACATTTAAGCCACGTGCCACAGCGACAAGGCTATTTGGAAAACCGCTCTGCTTAATCTACTTACTGGCTCAGTTTTCACGACCATATACAAAAGAACAAGTGAGTGACAGCAAAAAATTTTAACATTAACACTTAACATTAGCATGGGGTATGTGCTACAGGCATAGTTTGGAATAAATCATAATACACATGAATAAGTAGATGGGCTTCAACTGTATCATACTAATCACATAGTTGACATGTTAAATGTGTCTTACTGTAAAATTCAAGCAGAATGTCTCTTCTACATCTTCTCCAGGGTAATCTAAAAGTTGCTGAAGACTCCTACATAACAGGTATGGAAATTAAAAATATATCAGAGATTCAAAGAGTCATACATCTAAAGGTGAAAAGAAATTCAGCAAAAGCAAAGAAAGAACACCACATCTGGGCAATAGGATTGCAAGAGACTCTCCAAGTCACCTGAAGGGGTAAGAAAGAAATAGACCTCAAATAAAAAGGTGCTTTGTTAGAAGCAGGATAAAGGCTAGACCACACAAATTATCAATATAGTCCATGCCTACCTAGTACCTGCATCCCCTTTAATGGTCCTGGCCTTAGAACAGAATCACATTTTTAGTTCTTATTGACTCCTAGATATTTTTGCCATCCCCACACAAAAGTCTGAGGGGAATGGAGAGGTGGTGAATTATATCTGTATCCCCATTAGGAAGAAAATATTCTGCTATCCCTCACAATCCTGCTGCTGTCTTCCCAGCATTTTACTTCATTGTTGTTTAACAGCTGTCACTTTGTGCTGATAAACTGGACACCAACTCAGAAGAAAAAAAAAAGACAGCAGTCAGACACTGGGATCTTCTCTCTATCAGAGGGAACCAATATCCCCATGGCATTAGGCAAAAAGGATTCAATACACCATTTAGAAAAAGTTAGTCCTTCATTCCACTTCCTTGTTTCTGGCATGGAATCAGGTCAGAGTTACTCTGGTTTGGGGATGGAATAGTTCACATCCTACACCCAATTCCCACACAACATGACAAATGCAGTGGATTTGCAGGAAAGGCTGAGGCTAGGATCTGGGATCATGCATGCAATCACAGAGTGGAGGGACAGGCCCCCAGCCCCTATTTTCAAAGAAGTGTGGTAGGAATCTTTTGCCCATGTTTCTTTTTTTCTGAGGGTCAGGAAGGTGGGTACAGAGGTTAGAGTCTAAGCAGATGGATCCGATAGCATGTGGAAGAGGAGAAATCTTACATGAAATTCACCACCCACTTATGTACTTTGCTAGCATCACAGCCCCCTAAATTAATCAGTTGCTCAAAAGGCTTGGGAGATGTTACATTGAACAGCTTTCACCCAGTTTGGCATTACTTGTTCTCAGTTGAATGGTCTTCTTCCCAGAAAGGCTGCAAGCTTTGGTTTTCATACCTTCCTTCTGTAGGGGATAGCTCCTTCAAATCCTCTAGGCAGGGCTTCACATTCAAGAGTTTTTTGTACAGAGCCAAGGGAAAGTGAAGGTCTACCACTGTGAAGTTGTATATTGCAAGACCACATATGATGCCAATCAAGTGAAACCAGTTGTGTTCTACAAAACACTGCAAAACCACACAGATAAATCCTTATGAGGCTGGTCAATGCACAGTACTCTTTCCTCCATGCACTAAGAAGCCAGCCCCTGCTTTTCCAACTGGGAAAAATAAATAAATAGATTAAACTATACATCAGAGAGCTCCCATCAGGTCCCAGTTTGGTTGTGAACCCTTGCTGCAGCATAGCACAGAAATGAAGATTCAGAAACCCAGCCCTATTGCTTTTGTAAGCCATGATTAGTTGTGGAAACAGCAACAGCTGCTTTCTGCCTTACCAGCCTTTTATTTCCTTTTTACATACCTCTGCATTTAAACATTAACAAAGCTTCAAAGTTTGCTCTCTATGTACTGCAAGAAAGCGTGTTAACAATTCCCTCCCTATAGCCCATCTTATTTTCTATTAAAAGCTTATGTTTAACCAAAGTACCAACCAGGCAAATACACCAACATAGGTGTTGGTAATGGTTTTCATTCCTTTGCATATTTACCCTCACCCTGGGTATGTCAGTCACAGACTGGCTGCCTGTATTTCTTAAATGTTGTAAACATGTGAATCATTTTTAGTGCTCACAGTGACATTATTCTTAGTGTCAAAAGAGTTGTTGTTTTTATAGCATTAACATGAGGAGTAATTGCTCTGTAATACTATGTATAAATTACAGAGTAGTACCATGTAATTTCCCTCTTTGTTAAATGTAACTAATAAACTAAAAAGAACCCCACCAGGGCAGCTACACCTTAAGGGAAGAATGACAACATCATTTTCCATCTTGCTGTCTAGAAAGATGAAGCAAAAAAAAGGACATAACCCACCACCTCCAGCATAATGCTATCCGACAGGTACAGAACATGCACTCCACACTCTTCCAAACACAAACAACTTTCACTACAAATCATGTTTCTTGCTTTTTAAGAGGTTACTCACATAAAGCATTAACAAATTTAGACCCTGAAGGTGACAGTGATACATCACTAAGTGGTTGATTGCAATTACGTGAACAGCAATGGAAGCACAGAATCTCATGCCATTATGACCTCTCGTTCTGTAAAATAGCATGATTGTCACATTCACCATCATAAGAGTTCTATAACTGTCATATGATACTTAATACAAGTTTTATTATGAGATAAGAATAGAGAAAGAGCCAACTCCTCAGCAGGCACCATCATCACTGTTCCACCCAAGTTAATGGACCTATACTAATCTACACTCACTGAAAATAGAGCTCACACCATATTGTGGGTGGAAAATGAGGGGAAGAACATTTCTTTCCCAGTTTGCCACTAACTTTCTTGTCATTCAAATACAGCATATTATTTAAACCTGCACATACAGAAGGCAATGGCTTACCGTGTCTGAAAACCACAGCAGGTTTGACTCTGGGTAGTAAGTGAACATGCCATAGATGGGATTGAGGAGTTCTTTTAACAACAGGAGGAAAAATTCCTTTGTCACACCTCCAGCATCAACAGCTTCCTCACCATCAAAGATGACCTGCAGAAAAAGCAGGTCAGTAACAGGGCTGCAGAACTGAGTAAATGATTAGGAGCACATATAAAGCAATTTGTCTAACATACCCATGAGCCATGAGCCTGTTTCAGTGCTCTGCTTGTAGGGAAGGAAAGGGAATGGAGGCAAATCAGGTGTTTTAAAAGTGTTTAACTCCTTATGCAAATCACAAATAACCACCTTCCCCACAACTGAAGCAGCAACATGACAGCAGCTGCTAAATTTTGTAGCACCTTCTCAGGGAGAAAATGTGTCCTACTGTAAGAGGACTGTTCCTGCAGAAGAGCAAAATAGAGACTGCATAATATTATAGAAATGTTTCCTCCCTGCCCCTTATACAGTAGGCAAACCAGGAAAAGAGTAAACACTCCAGCAGCCAGAGAGGAGAAAGACTCTACCTTTGCACTGATTAGATCAAGTGTTCCTGCGTGCTGCACCTATGGAGAAGCCACTGTGTACTGGTGAAGTGGTAATGGAAAATGGCTGAAAGTTTGGCAGAAATGTCAGCGGGACAAGAGAGTGCTAAAAGACGTGGGGAAAACTTACTTTAAGAGGCTTTTTCAAATCAATGTCTGAATGGATGCTCAACTCCCTTAAAGCATCACCAACTAAGTTACTCCTGCGAACATGAAGAACCAGGAAAGGGCTTCTGGCCAGCAGAGGCTCCAGGGTGAGAAGCATGAAGACATTCTGCAAATTTGCACCATTTATTGCAACCTGTAAATAAGAGAGAGGTGAGAAACAGCTGCTGCTCAGCTCCTCTCTTCCAATGAAAGGAAATCAGTTAATAACTACATGCGTGGTGTTCTTTTTATCTTTATTCTTTTACTTTTGTTTCCCAAGGGTACAAGGACTGCATGCTCACTCTGTAGAACAGTGTGTGTCTGTATGTCCTCCACCATTCCCCACACCAACATCTTTTGAGTCCACTGACAGATTCACCAGATTTGAGCAACCAAGATACTAAATTCCTGAGTATTTTTTTAATTAGGCAGCTGGGTGGGGAAAAGAGGCTTTATTCATGCTCTTATTGAGTCAAGAAACTCAGTGCCAACACACCCTGATAAGAGCCAGAGAGTCCACAAGGGAAAGCACAGTTACAACCAAGGAGCCTGTTGACAACCACACCTGGCAAGGCATCAGTGAACACTTCACATGCAATTCAAAGCTCTCATCTACATGGATTTTCTGGAGTCAGGTAAGGCACAAAGTCCAGTCAAAGCTTTGACCACACATGGTATACTCATTCTCACGCATTGCCCGTAGTAAATGGCAAATTCACGTCTGTAAACCCAGTTTAAAAGTCAGTTAAACCTGAGACAGAAATCCATTGGAAACCAGGCTTCCTCCATTCCAGCACTCACAGAAGTACTGTTTTCTTTGGCCTTTAAGTGGTTGTCTTCATAAAGATCCTATCTCTCAGGGCAACAAAACCTTTACCAGACTGCTGTCCTGGTAAGATAAGGTAGACACCCTCCTCAGAGCAGCATGCTGCTCACAAACTGGGCATCTGAAGAGATACCCAAGAGGGTGACAAAATGAAAGCAGGAGGTGATTCTAGCTTCTGAGTGGTGTAGGCTGAGCCTCCTCTGCCTTGCTGCAGCCTATGTGTTCAAGAAGCCACAGAAAAGCTAAGAGATGAATATTACATAGAACCAGCACCATGGTGTGATGGTGCATCACCCATAACCTCAGCCTGCTTGAACCTGTTTTGTGATTTCAATAACTTCTCCATCTTTGTGCAAGAGCTTGGCGATAAGCATCCCTTAATTGTGTAAGGAACTCGTGTTGCAAGGCTAAGACAAGGGCAGCATAACCTATACTTTTCCCGATGACTGGAAAAAGGGAAATATAACCCCCATTTTCAAGAAGGGGAAAATGGATGACCCAGGGAATTACAGACCAGTCAGTCTCACCTCTGGGCCTGGCAAAATCTTGGAGCAGATTCTCCTGGATGGCATGCTAAGGCACATGAAAATCAACAAGGTGCTTGGTGACAGCCAGCATGGCTTCACTAAGGGGAAATCCTGCCTGACCAATTTGGTGGCCTTCTATGATGGGGCCACAGAACTGATGGACAGGGGTAGAGCAGTTGATGTCATCTACCTGGGCTTGTGTAAAGCGTTCGACACTGTCCCACACGACATCCTTGTCTCTAAATTGGAGCGACATCAATTTGATGGATGAACCACTCGGTGGATAAAGAACTGGCTGGATGGCCAAACACAAAGGGTTGTGGTCAATGGCTCAATGTCCGGCTGGAGACCAGTAATGAGCGGTGTCCCTCAGGGATCAGTGTTGGGACCGGTCTTGTTCAACATCTTTGTCGCTGACATGGACAGTGGGATTGAGTGCGCCCTCAGCAAGTTTGCCGATGACACCAAGCTGTGTGGTTCGGTTGATACCCTGGAGGGAAGGAATGCCATCCAGAGGGACCTTGACACGCTTGTGAGGTGGGATGATGCCAACCTCATGAGGTTTAACCATGCCAAGTGCAAGGTCCTACACCTGGGTCGGAGCAATCCCAGGCACAGCTACAGGTTGGGCAGAGAAGAGATTCAGAGCAGCCCTGTGGAGAAGAACTTGGGGGTGTTGGCTGATGAGAAAATGAACATGAGCCGGCTTCAGTGTGTGCTTGCAGCCCAGAAACCAACCATATCCTGGGCTGCATCAAAAGGAGCGTGACCAGCAGGTCGGAGGAGGTGATCCTGCCCCTCTACTCTGCTCTTGTGAGACCTCACCTGGAGTATTGTGTGCAGTTCTGGTGTCCTCAACATAAAAAGGACATGGAACTGTTGGAACAAGTCCAGAGGAGGGTCACAAGGATGATCAGGGAACTGGAGCACCTCCCATATGAAGACAGGCTGAGACAGTTGGGGCTGTTCAGCCTGTAGAAGAGAAGGCTGCGTGGAGACCTCACAGCAGCCTTCCAGTATCTGAAGGGGGCCTATAAGGACTGCTCATTAGGGCAGTAGTGACAGGACAAGGGGTAACAGGTTAAAACTTAAACAGGGGAAGTTTAAATTGGATATAAGGAAGAAATTCTTTCCTGTTAGGGTGGTGAGGCACTGGAATGGGTTGCCCAGGGAGGCTGTGAATGCTTCATCCCTGGCAGTGTTCAAGGCCAGACGGGACGAAGCCTTGGGTGACATGGTTTAGTGGGAGGTGTCCCTGCCCATGGCAGGGGGGTTGGAACCAGATGATCTTTAGGTCCTTTCCAACCCTAACTGTTCTATGATTCTATACCAGGAACTCCAGTGTGGGAGATGAAAGTGGGGATAATTCCCCTTTTAGCCCTGGAACATTCCTTATCTGAATGCTCTGGGTGAATTTTTGATGACTAAAGCCAACCATCTCACAACCGTATAAACAGTGGTGCTAAATGAGGCCCTTTGAGCTATTCTGGACCACAGCGGGCTGCATCAGTACCTCCCTCCAAGTGGGATGACCCTCAGAGTGCACAAACTATTGAGTTTGCAAGAGGATCATTGGCTGATGATGGGACCTGGGCTGATATCTCCACTACTCAAGGCTCAAACCCCTTCTGCTGAGAAATGCCAAAAAGTCATTAGATGCAAGTATTCCACTGATTCTTGAGGGCAAGTTTTAATAGGCATACCTATACACACACACACACGCACACATACATATCTCTGTTCATGTGTGTTACCTTTGTACATCTGCCTATACATACCTGTATGCGTCTATTGACTTGAACACCCTCTACCAAATATAGTATATCTGCTACCATATCAAATCTTTAATACTGTTACTGTTGTGCTTATAGGTGTTTATAGTGGTTAATCTAACATGTAAGTGTTGTTATGATTAAGTGTTGCTAAACCCTTTAGACATAAATGGTTGACTGAGTCTGAGCCTAAGACTGAATACAGCTGCATCTGGACTCCTTCCTTACCCCTTCTCATTCCAGCCTCTGTATAAATCTCTCTCTTTGTTTTTTCCTTTATATGTATTACCCATGCAGTAAGCAATAGGGTAAACCTTGCCACTGAACATTGTTGTGGTTTTACAAATTTACATTAAAGCTCGTTTCTGACAATACCTTTTACAGTGGTTGTTTAGTTGACCTAAACCACTCCCTTTCATGACACATGCCCATGAGTAACTGATGACATTTTCCCACCCTGAAGGAACCTGTCAACCATCAACCACAGCCAATTCATGTCACAGAGGATGAGTCCCAAACCTCACATGCTTTGGGGGAGGGATTAGTGCCCAGTGCTTCATCCCCCTCAGGAGGCATCTGCATGAGCAATGCCTGGCACTGGGAGGTTTACATTGGCACAGAAGCGAGCTGTCTTTGTCACAGCCTAGCTGTCAGCTGGCTTGGCTGCCATCTACAGGGTAAGGGTGATGGAGCTGAACACCTCTTCAACCCTCACTTCTGTACAGGCAGAAACTTGTGAAAGTGCCCACTTATCTGAAGGCTTGTCTACTTTTCCAGCCTTACAGGTTTCTGTAACAGAGACCTCACGTTACTTTGCATCCTTGGATTATCCCAAATACGTAAGTACTCCTCCCCTATAAAGCTTTTATTTCCACCACAGAAAGGGGCAGGGAAAATGGGAGAGAGAAGCATTACCTGCATCTGTAGTTCTGCGTCTGTCTGTAACATCTTGGTCTTAGCCTGAGCATCAAAGATGAAAGGATAAGAGCAGAGTGTCACAGCATCCTGCAAGAAAGGCAGGCAGATTGATTCCTATCTACAGCTTCCACAGCATTTCTTTAAGAAAGAGTAATAGGACCCACATTTTCTTACCTGCATGATAGATGGTCTGACTTTCTGTGAAAGAAAAATAGAAATATGAAAATCTTTTACTTTTGATTTTTGTGTCTTGTGTTTTTTGGTTCAAAGTTTAAAGGTGACAGAAAGAAAATTTTCTCCTCTAGGACCAACCACCTCTTTTCCCTCCCTCTTAAAGACAAGCATGTGAACTTCCTCCTTAAGAAAACCACAAATCCAACTCAAAACTTGAAACACCAATGTTACTCAGAAGACTAACTGACACAGAAGCCTGTGCTAGCCTGCCATAGCTGAAACTTACTCCTATGAAGACAAACAAGAAAATAACCCCCAAGGCAGAGACAATATGAATCAGAAGAGACAAGGCCACAACAAGAGAATGTAAGACCACTCCTGCAATGCAAATCGCTTCTCTCATTAGCCACATCAATACATTTTTAACTATTGCTGTTACATAAATTTGAGTCACTATTTTATTGTTCTGCTCACTAAAAGTAAGCACAGAGCAGCACTATTTACATGATGGAAAGCAGGAGATGAGGAACACAACACACACAACATTTAGAAAGTCCATGAAAGCACACACAAGAATTCTTGCTACAGTCAGCTTCTACTCCTGCAGCATCCCCTGGCAGGTGTTTTCTGGTGTTCTCTCTCACTCAGGATCCCTTTCCTTGCTATAATTAACCAATCTCACTGGGTTCCTACACAGCATATTCCAGCCCTCAGTTCAGCTATCTCCTTTCTTACAGATGAGAAAGTGAGGCATAAAAGAGGTGAAGGGTCTTACCCAAGATCACCCAGCAGGTTACTGGAAGAGCCAGGAATAGAACCCACATCTCTTGAGTCTTGGTTCAGTCCCCTAGCCAGAACGCCATACTGCCTCCTCTTACAGAGCAACATTTTAAGATCACTGGCTACATTATTCACAATACCTGCCTAAACAGCAGAAGTAAAGGGTAAAAATTATAATTTTAGAATACAGGATTTGGCTCCTGAGGTCTCGATTACATTAAAAGGATCCAGTGACTGAATTAATCCCCTTGTGCGAGGATTGAATGAAAATCACATGATTAATCACAGAGATTGAAGCAAGCATTAGTTACATATTGTTAGCTCCAATTCTTCCAACAGCCTTATTTTAAGTCAATTTTGTCAAGCCACCCAAATCTGAGAGTCTTAACATATAGAAGCTCCTATCCTGAATACATTTCACTCTCATTAAGGATATTAAAAATACAGATCTACAACCAGAGAGACAAACATGGACAGCTGTATGACTATACGTAAAACCTCTTACCATTCCCGCTTGATGCAAGAACCACATGAGATAATCCTCCTGAATGTCCACCAAGCTGGAAATCTCAGGGATATAAAACTTATCATATTCTACATGTTTAACCTTCTGATTTACCTAGTGAAGAAAATGTTTTTTTAAAATGTGGATATATTTATCATTTTTTTTAGAACATGCAGGTTTGCTTTCATAAAATCAGTTATAGCAGCTTGCAACAAAAGGACTCAAAGTCTTGTAAAACCACATGGTCCCTTGTATTTTAGAATAAACCAAGGAAAATCAAGATAAACCTCTTCTTGATTTATTTCAGTTCCCTCTCTTCACCTGGACTACCCAGCACCAACACAGTGGGAGGAGAAAGCATCATGGCACAGGTATTTGGGATGCCACAGTACAAGCAGTGTGGTGGCTCAGCAACAGCATTCTTTCCTAGTGTTTGAGACAGGACTAAACAATCTTCAAGTACCTTGACAGGAAAACCACTAACATCTTTCCTGTGTGGTGTCTGGTGGACAATGACACAGCTCACAAGCCAGGACCATAACCACCCTCCTGCCAACTGGCAAAGAGCAGACAAGACGGAATCATCTTGAGGCAGCACATGGCGCCCAGGCTTTCCTCTTACCTTGTGGAGTTTCTCCAGAAGTCTGAGAGCAGCTGTAATGTAGCTACTGAATAGAACTGGGATCAACAGTGTCTTTCTTCCACTGAGAAGGTAAACAACTGCACCTTTGTAGAGGTCCACTAGCCTGAGGAAGTATCTTGGGCACACTTGAGACCACCAATTATCTAAAAAGTAGAGGAACATCAATACAAATCCTGAACTAAAGGCCAGAGAAAACTCAAAATGAGGGGGTTACAGCTGAAAATAAGGGAACACACCTGAAGATTGATTAAAATAAACTTTCTTATTTCTGTCCTAACTGTAGCAACACGAAAGCAAGCAAACAGTCAGATACCAAAAATTGGAAAATTCTTTCCTTTCCACTCTCATACAACCAACCACCCCAGCCATTACTCGGCCCCAATCCCTGATCAGTGTGAGAGCCTCAATTCAAGGGGTTTCAACCTTCAGCTTAAGATAGTGTTTCAAGTATCTTGTATTCAGGAGTCTGATTTTGTGGGCAAACTGTTCTCTCTCACGAGTGATAAGAATGCAGTTGCCTGCGCAATTCTCTGTAGTAACATATACCTCTCTAGGAGGTGTGAGAACATGTCTCCCTGCATATCTGCACCAAAGGTATGAACTTCCCCTCTTCAGAAAGGCTGATTTCTTTCTTGCCAAGGACAGGTAACCCTTACCTCTCCTCTGAAGGGGCACTGACTATTACTTTCTTTGCTAGAACCAATCCACCTGCAAAGAAGAAGCTGGAGCCTGGGATACCATCATGTCAGCTGTTCAAAACAAACACGAATTCATCCACTGATGTGCCAGCACAACCATAGATTCTGATGGTTAAAAGTATGAGAACCCTTTACATTTATGTATGCTAACAATGACAGTGGACTATGTTGAGTAGAGGAAGAAACTTGGTTGCAAAGCCTCTTTCAATAAATACATATATATATATATAAATAATCACTAAACCTCAAAGTAAGTGCAATGGAGCAATATTTCTGGAGGCTTTAATGCATTACACAGTATTTTTCGTGATGATATAGATTTAGTATAAGACAAATTTAAGAAAGAGAGTAAGATAACAAGAAAAGTAATAGCTTAGCAAACATGAGCAACAATCATTAAGCAGCATAAATTCTGCTTAGCTTAAAGTGAGCTCATAAGAAAAAATACTAGCAGAAATTAGAAGACTGATAAGTGGGAGCAGAGCTGGGGTGCTCAGCTTGGTCACAAACCAACCAATAGGTTTTTCTGCAACTTACAGAAGACAAAGTAACATTATATCTAGTATGCTCCTCTATTTATCTTACACAGGAAGGATATTCTAATGCAGACAATATCTGATTAAATATAGAGAATATGATCATTTAATCTTCATTATAAATCTACTTTATCAGAGCCTCTGAATTGTAGGTAATCTAGATAAGGTAAACTAGATTAACCTACCTAGTAAGTGTTCTTAGAAAATTCAGATTAAGAACTGTTTTAACTCAGAAGTAAAATATTTCATTCTCATTTATTATCCACACCACCATAAACTTTATACATCTTATGTTATTGTAACTAACTTCCCATAACTTACCCTGCATGACACATTCTTCATTTCCTCATAGTTCATGCTTAAAATTCAAATATTATGTTTATAATTCTTTTACATGGGAACACAGTTTTTTGGGGGGAGGAGTCCTTGAGTCCTTTTGGTTCCCAGCTGCTTTATAGAGGTGACTGCTTCATAACAACACTATATCACAAATAACACCCAATTATCATTGCAGCTGTTGTAATAGAATAGAAGAATTAAACCAACTCAAAAACATGACTAAACAACCTGAAGGGAACACTCTGTGTCCCAGCTGGAGACTGAGAACAGTGCGCATCTTAAATGCCAGCCTCTTACCAAGAACTTTGCTGGGGTTGGTATCTAGGCGCAGAATAGCCATTGCTAGGGGAAGTGTTAACGTGATATAATACTTGGAGTCTTGGAAGGGTGGGAATTCAGGGAGAATCAGATATATCCTCATTGCCTCCACATCTGGTGGTGAGCTAGACAGCTGAGGAATCAAAAAACTTTCAAAGCTCTTCAGTATCTACAGGAAAACAAGACAAAAGACAACAACTTATCCTCTTCAGTATCTACAGGAAAACAAGACAAAAGAGAACAACTTATCCTTTGGGATAGAGAACCTACAATGCAAATGATGTGCAAAAACTGATGAAATAGAGCACACTCAGAATGGTCGAACTCAACAGCTTTTGCTGATGCTCTTTTAAAAACACTCCATAGGACAGGACTAAACTCCGATTTTTCCCAAATGCATGAACATTTGGATAGGTTTTCCCAGGGCTAGCTAGAGGTCAGCTACTCGCTCTTGTTAAGGTCACAACCCTGGTTTAAAAGTCAAACCCAGAGTAGGACAAAAAAGCTGTAAAAATTATAGCTAAGAAATGGCAGGGGGACGTACACAATTTTATCCCATCGCTTGCACTTCCAAAAGGAAACTTCTGAGCTAGAATAAATTATACAACTGTAAAGTACTCAACTCCTGGCAGGCAACAAATGAGCACAGAGTCATTATTTATGAGTATAACATACACCGAATTCATTTCAGCAGCCGTTTCAAGTAATAAATGCCATGAGATTATTTTTTTAGAAGTGACTCTTAGAGACACAATCCAAGCAGGTGAAAGTCAGCCCAGGCCAATGGAGAAGTATCCACTGATACCGTAAAAGATCTGGCCTGCAGATTTTTGATACAACCCTTCCCAAAAAAGCTGCTGTTATTTGTATGTAACAGAGGGACAAACCCTTTATTTCCCCTATGAGTACCCAAAATCCCAGAAGTGTAATACCTGGTCTAGGAGAATGGAGTGCTGAGAGTTCATCAGCTTCTCAAACAGCACCCTGGTGGAGTTCAGATCAATCCCTGGGATCTTTGGACTGGTTTTAAAATGTTCATCAATTCTTTAAAAAATAAAAAAAAAATCCCAGATAGGCATAAGTTTAAGGAAGAGCCATCATTACCTGTGTATTGGCATGGTCTGAGAGCAAGCAATGGATACATTCCCTCTAGAGAATTAATCAGACTAGAAACAAAGTAGAGGTTGTAATCTTCGCACTTCATCAGTGTCTTTGATTTCCCCAGGACTCCTTTACTGACACAAGAGCCAGCCTAGACAGGCTGGAGTGCTTAAAATCTATAAAGTATGTATACCCTATGTATCAGGGTCTCCTGTGTTGTCTTCATACGTACTACTGTTATAGCAAAATCTGTATATCACACTCAGTAAGAAAGGGAATTGTGATGCATAAGATGACACAGACTGCTGTAAAAGGGGACATCAGACGAGAGTTTTCAAAAGAAAACAGGGGAAGATATTCAGAGTAACTTTTTGGCAATTCCTATCTCAAATTTTCTAAAACTAATCAACAACCCCAACCAAAATACAGCACAGCTAAGAAGAGTCTTCATATGGTCTTTAGCTGTAACAAACGTGCTATCCTTTCTGCTGCACTTGAAAGGCTGTAACTTACTCAGGCTACCTGTGTAAGAAGGACAATGAAGGCAAGTTTGTGGAAGACAATGGTCCAACAGCCAGATCTAGCAACACTGTCTAGTCCAGCAGGTAAGTTGTCTAGCTCAGTGTACAGAGCATGATCAGCACCTGTTAGCAGAGGCTTTCAGCACCATTGTCTGCAGTAAAGCTGCACACAGAACCTTGCAGTTGCTAGTAAAAAAAGGTCGTTGCTATAATTCCATTGACCTCAAGGATTTCCCAAGTCTGTCACGACTCATCTGAGACTGTGCTGTATTAGGCACTCTGAAGGAAAAGGTAGCTATTAAAGATGGGATACATTTGTCAGTTTGCTGGTGTGACTATAACAACATGAGAAGCTAAACATAGCCTGCTGTAGTAGAACAGCTATTTCTATAACTGGCTGAAAATAGCTCCTCCTATTCACACTGTGGTACAGAGCACTTCAGACTGTGATGTGCAGAAGTAGAACTGAAGCATGTCCACTCACACAGCCATGGAAAAGCTGCTTTTCCATCTAACCTGTGTACCACAGTGCTGTATTGCAAGCAGGCCAATATGGCATTAGGATACTAGAGGGATATACTAGGGTATTTCTATCAAGTGCACCGTGACATACAGCTTCACATATAAAGGTACAATGGTTAAATATAACCTCATTTCAGTGCACGGTGGCTTCAAATTTTATCATTCATTTGGTCAAATATTTCCTGTAGAAGTTAAGTCCTGCGGTAGCCAGGGCACCACTAAAGTGTAAGGAGAACTGCACTGGGATGAAGAAATCATAAATTCCACTCATTTCCACATTCAAAGGAGATGGCAGAATATTTACAGTGACTCAAAAACTTGGATACCTCAGTAAATATTTTAAACCAACATGACCCAACTCTTCTGATGCAGTAACATGCTGCCTTGACACAAGACTAGAAAAGAAACCATTGGACAAGTGGAAAATGCAAGAATAATGAATAAATTGTTTTCTTTTCCCAGTTACTCTTGGAAAATATTACTCAAAGATTACTCAGCGTAACTAAGCTTTTCTTCACCTAGCTGCAGGTCATTTACTCATCACATCACCATAAAAAATTTCTTCTTCTCCTCCTCCTCATCTTATGCTGCTACCTCCCCAACGATTACAGACACAGCCAACACAAGCCTTCCCAACCCACAGCCTTTGACTCAGCTATGCATATTACATCCCTGTCACCACCTATTGCTGGTTACACCCATTTGAAATTCCTGCTTTTGTAAGCAGGAACACAAAACTTTCCACAAGTGATGTCACCTAAAAGGAAAGTGCTTCCATGCTGCCCCAGATGTATTTTCCAAGAGCAGCCTGTGTTGACATATACCTCCACTTGCACCAGCCCCCATCAGCTAGCTCAGCTGCGTAAGAGACTACGCAGATACCTGGTATCACTCATCTCCCTTAATGACATATTCCTGCCCCTCTCTTTTGAAGATGTTGACATTAGTTTCATAAGGAAAAATAACAGTTGTAACAACTCCAAGGAATCTGTGCCACTTACAGTACACTTACCATGCACTTTCTTAAACCATCTGCCTTCCTTACTTAGCTCTGATCACCCAGCTCTTCAGTGAATACTTTCTACTCTCGTCTCCTGTCTGATCAGAAAAACCACTGCAGCAGGGAGTGAAGTAAAGGTACTCCAGTCTACCTCAAGGGAAAGAGACAGTTCTATAATTTTGCCACTTACTTCTTCTCTAAGAAGCTTCCATTCCAGCAGGCAGCTGAGGACAGTATCTGAACAACATTACTGTTTGCAGCAGGAAGACAAAAGAAAACAGAGATGGAGGTTAGGAACAGACATTCCAGCAAATCTTTTCAGCTCTCTTCCCTTCCTTCTATGGAAAAATAAAAGTCAGGATCACCCCTTAAGAGGCACAGAGGGTAAGTGGTTCAATTCAGTTAACATCCCTCTTTGAAAGGAGGGATGTTAGCAGTGCCCCCTTCCCATCTTCTTATGGCAGGTACACAGGGAAAGGAATTTACCTGTTCACAGGTTCTTGGTGCTTTTGACAAACTCTAAGCACACAATGAAAGACCACTTTAAAATCCATTTCCCACCCACCATTTGCAATGTTCTGAGGCAGCCTCAAATTCTTCTAGTTTTGCTCAGAAGCTCTAACCTGGCAGCCTGATGACTAGCAACTGTCTTCCCCTTGGAAACGATCAAGAACCACACTTGAAAAGGCTTCTAAGTTTCAAGTGAAAGCATGGCACGGAAGCCAACAAAATGATTTAAATACGACTTTCAACAAAAGGCTTGTCCAGTGCCATAATACCTACTTGACAGAATTAGAACTGTTCTTTTCTAAAAGCTTTTGCCTCCAGACATCTATAGTTTCATCATTTATTAAACAGGTGTAACGTGTTTCATTTATGGTCCGGAAATCATCAGCAGGCAAGGAATTCTGTGAGAAGATATAGATTTCAGCAAATACAAAGCTTGTAAAACAATTCCTTCTTATCTACAATCTCTGTGTTTTCTATATAACTGACAGCTTTCTTAGTGTGGTTTCTGAACAAGTTTGGTCAGGAAGTTGTGGCATCACTAAGAAGTCAAGAGAAACAAAAACAAAACCAGATCAAATACATTTTAAAATAGGAGGAAAGGAAAAAGAAAATAAAAATAATTTCCTTGAATGTACCAAAGCCCTTAAACACTGCCATATCTAACTACAGGGTTAGCACATTTATTCCACACCTATTGCCATGCCTCAAAAGTGTACGTCAAACACTTCTTGAACAAAATAAGACAGAAGCAGAAAAAACAATTCAGTACTCAGCCCTCCCATCCAGCATATCTTGACAAGACCCTAGTGTATGTGGTCCACTGCCCTGCACTCTAATTGCACAGACCCCAGTGCCTGAGCAGGAAATGCCTCACTTCCAAATGCACTCGAGACTGGACTCCACTCCTGCTGATCAAACTTAAATCAGTAACTTCCCAATGGGTCTTTGATGTGCCTCTAAAGGAAGGCAGCTTTCAGCCACTCCTAAAAAGCTGTAAATTCCTGTAACAGCCGTCGTTGTTGGTAAGGTTTATAAGGTAGAATGGACTCCAAAGCAACAGATCATTTTTGGGAGACACTGGCAAAAACAAAAGATGCTGGGACAGGGAAGCAGACTTGAGAAGATACTTAATTTGTTTTACCTCATATTCGGAGCAAAGCACAAATGTTTGGTCTCCTCCAGAGAAGATATGTTTAACAATGTGATATTTACAGGCATCTGTTGAAGAAAGATTAGAGGCTGATGAACACAAGCTCCTACTTTGTCTTTTCCCTCACATTTGCACTGCCACTGTCTCAGGCTTTATACTATAAGGAGAATCTGGGCTGCTTGAAGGCCATGCTGAAATCAGCTGAAACTCAAACACTGTAGCACTTTCACAGGAAGATGGGTTTCTTTCGCAGGACAATGTCAAGATATCTTTAGACAGCCATGGGTGAAATGAAATTATTTACATCCATTTGTGACTCCAAATCACACATACCAGGTTTCCCTGAGAGTTGCCCATTGTGAGCTGCCCAATGACCCTTGACAGGAGAGGGACACGTCACATTGCAAGTGTGCCCTGTTCCCAGCTGGCCTCTTGTTCCACAGCCAAATGCATAGATCATTCCTGAAGAAGGCACAAAGGCTAAAGTGTGATGTCTGTAACAGAGACAGGTAAAAGTTGAGGCCTTGTTTAACAACTAAAAGAAAAAAAAAACAAACAACATAAAAATCAAACACAGCATAAAACTTATTCTCAGTTCCCATAGGCGAGAAGCTGGTGCAAAGCAGCATCTTCACACTAGCACCAATGTTCAGTTTTTGCCACCTGATGGCATCACTTTATGAGACAGAGCTCTTTAGGTGGAATTGACAAAGAGCAGTTTGTGCCAGCACATGGCTGGTATCAGGCTCACAGATGGAATTAGCTTAGTCATTTGCTAAGCCTGTACATATCAAAAGGCAACAACACAGCACAAGCATTACTAACTCTTTTCATGAAAGAGACTGAAAACTTGTGAGCAAAGAGGCTGCTACATTAAAGTCTTGCTGAATTAAGATGGAAAGGTATCTTTTACCAGGTTACAGCACAGGGAACAGCCCAAATCAAAAAACAACCTCATTCAGAGGGCCTTAAATTAGTTTTTAATTAACTTATTTTTGACACATAGCACACAGAAGCAAGACTATTCCCCTTATTTACAAGACTCAAGGTCAGCATTAAGCTCCAAAGAAAAATGCTGACTGCACACAGGACTCACCTGCCACAAGCAATCTGGGATACTTCACTGCCCATTAGCTCAAGAACTCTTCGGGGGTTCACTTCATCATTCATGGAGTCATGTCCCAGTTGCCCACAGGAACCTGCACCGAACGTGAACACCCCTCCACTCTGTTAGCAAATCAAACAGCATATTCTCCATTTAGGGACCCATAACCCAGCAGTATCTCTCTGACTCCAGTCTCAGTATGAGCCCAAGCTCATGCAGAGATTGCTAGAGATTTCCAAAGGATTCAGAGAAGAAACTTGGGTTCTGCTAATGCAGCCTCCAAAGAAGTCTCTAATGGATGGTAAGGTAGCTAACAGAATTATCTTTAGGTATGTCTACATTAGTCAACTCCTCCCCACCATCACCAGATGAGTCTGAAATCCCAACAAGTTTAAACATGGCTGAGTAGCATCCACTTCCACAATGTTTCACACCCATCTCTATCAGCTGCTGACGAAGACTGGAACTTTTTTCCTCTGAACATGAGCTTTCTAGAGAACTAATGTTCTACAATGGTGTTTTCTCCACAAGAATCCCAAAGCCAGCTGTTTAATTTATTTTACAGTGGAAAACACCGAGGCACCAAAAAAGAGAGCAACACCTAGGAAAAGGCAGAGGCAAGAACTTAGCAGTGATCTGCCAAATCCCAGCCCTGTGCTCTGTCCACTAAACTATACACCACTTGGAAACAGCAGGTTTGGAACTGAAAACCTCTTGCAAATGCCGTGAGTTTCATTTAAACACCCATTTGTTTTGACTTGCATTTTGTTCTGATGCACAATATCACTCTTTTTATCTTCCAACAAAATGTGATTTTCACCCTTTTCAATGTATGTTTGTTACACTTTTTTCTCATTTTTCCCTAATTTTTTGAGCAATTCACCTGAGTTTTACTATTTATTACCACAGATTACCAACATCTTCATCTTCAAAAACAGCAATGAATCACATTGCCAATGAATCCCATAATATATTATAATGACTGTACTTCCTATTTAGTTTCTTTTACTGGGGTCAGATGGACTATGCCAATCTGTTCTTTTCCACCACTACCCGGTAAACTGAAGTGAAGCTATCAGACAGGTGAGACAGCAGCAAGGTTCCCAGGTTAGCATCTTTACCTTTGTCAGAACTGCTGTGTGTTCCTCTCCACAGCTGATGTAAACAACCATTTGAGACCGCAACAGCTTCACATGACATGGGGATTCTCGGTCTGCATTGAAGACAAAGAAAATAAAGGAGCTCTTTCAAATACACAAACCTAAATGTGTGAGAACACCACTGGCAGACTGAATTTCAGATGTGGTCTATGTGTGCAATGGAAACTTTAACAACTGAGGAGGGGAACATGTCCTCGAGTACTTCACTGCTGCTCTCCCCCTCCAATTCCTAAAAGACTTGTCCTGCTCAAAGAAAATTGTCCAGAGCAAGAATGCAAATATGTGGAATCTTGTATAAATTCATCGGGCACTTAAGAGTTATGAGTGCAGCCTCACTACACCCACCTTCAGCCTCATGCTCCATTACAGACTCTTCACTGACAACTGCAAACATTTGTTTCAAAAGCTTGCTTAGACCTTTTCTATATAGAACAATCCTGACACATGGGAGACACTAGAACAACTCAAATGGCAAGCTGAATCCCAAGGTGCATTTAAATGCATAGCCTTCCGTCTGTCTTCATCCTTTAAGAAAAAGATCCTCCTACTTGCAAAGGCCAACCATTAAGGGATGCTTTCCTCCTTACTATGACATTCTAATAATTAAAAATGGGTCTCCCAGGGATAAGCTAACCATTTCAAGGAGCAGGAGGCACCTCAAAACAGTAGATATTAAGTGGAGCAGCTGCTTACTTCATACCAACAAAAAAATTCAAGTTTTTGATACCAACCTCCTAGAGATGTTGTCCATTTTTTAAGACTTTCACCCAAGGATTTTACAAGTGCTTTCTTCTGGGTAGCGAAAGGAAAATGGCCACATTTGCATGGATTTAGAAATAAGAGCATATTTTTCATTTACTTTGTTTTGTATTTTAGCACTCTGATCTTTATTTTGACAGGAATGACACTTATGTCTACAGCATAATTGTTTAACAGGGCTGCAGAACATTCGTGTTTTTAGACTCTGCTGCTCATGTTCACTAAATGTAATTCACACTGTCTTACCGTGATTCATAAGTATCAGTTATTTACTGCAGTCTCACATACTGAGGGGTAAGCAGAGTATGAACCCTGGTCAACACAGCCCTCAAGTAGATGCTTCTTAAATGTTAATTTAAGATTAGCACCATGTCAAAACAAGCATCTCACATACAAACTGCAGCTTTGTTGAAATTAGAAGCAATTATCTGCCAGCCTACAGATAGATATCTACAGATACCTGCAATTATCTTGCCATGGAAAGAACATGGCTGTTCTTTTAGATCAGATCTAGCTTACATAAAGTATAACAGAATAGACCTGGAGCATTTCTGAGAGAACACAATATATGTTACAAAGTCTTAAAATAGGGTTTCACATTTCTAAAAGTGTAAAGCAAGACGAAATGCTGCATACATCATACGAGTCTCCTTTGCTAAACTACAGGCTGGTTTTGAGTAATTGCTTTAAATACATTTCAGTTTGTAGGGTGGGTTGTGAAAATGCATCATCCAATTATAGTTACACAAAATGTGAGGTAGCACTTTTCTCTTGCAACATACAGAGCTTATATGCTACTACATTATGCAACATAACATTTACAAATACATACACCTCATCTACTCAACCACGCAAAATAAATTGTGTGCGCTGGGTATCATATCCACACTCAGTAACTTGCCTAGATGCTTAAAGCTACTCATCAACTACGCATAGACAATAAAGAGGTTAATTTGAAGCTCCAAAGAAAAACTTTCATCCACTGGCTTTTGCAAAAATTAATGTGTTAACATTCACATAAAAAGAATGTGTTAACAACAAGCAGAGGAGATCACGGCTTTTCAGAGCAGTGGTAATATTACACCCAACCTTCAGCCTCCTTTACAAACCTATCTTCAAGTCTGCTGATGGCTAGGTTTCACTGAATGTGGACACCTGAAAAAACTACCATTAGCTCTGCGGGTCTGGAAAATCTTTGCTCCGCACCAACTTCAAACAAAACATGGAGAAAGCATTCTTAAGAACAGGAAGAAAAAATATGAGCACTTCCCTATATGTCTGCACAACACTCACATTTGAAACATCTTTCTTCTCAACCTTCCTCACTTCAGTAACATCTACATGGGGAAAAAAGTCTTCCTGTTTCTACTACGTATGAAAAGCCTAAAGAGTCCAAAGACTGTTCTTCTCCCCTCCCCTCCCAAGAGCAGTGGCTGAAGATTACATATCCACTCAGTAAAAATACGTTGTCAATGCAAAAAGAGACCCTAGGCCAAAATGTCCATCCTACTTTCAACTAGGAGCATAATTTTAGTACCTCGTTCATCACTTAGTCCCAGCTGTCCTGAGCTGTTCTTCCCCCAGCCAAACACAGCTCCTGAGAGAGACAGGGCAAAACTGTGGGCTCCGCCTGCAGCAACCTGAGCCAAAGGGATCCCATCAAGAGACTTGACACGTTGTGGACTGGCTTGGGAGGGACATTCTTTGCCCAAGCCCAGCTGACCGTAGTTGTTCTGTCCCCATGTGAAGAACTGGCCATCTGAAATAAGGCAAGAAATAGAACAGTGAGTAAAATCTAATCCACAGAGAAGTTGATCAAGACGAACAAGAACCAGTGCTAAGGGCTTTGCAAGCCTTATGATGGCAAAGGGGAGGATGGGGGATGGAAAATTCAAGCAAGACATTCTTTGCTAAAATAAAAGCATTGTCTGAAGCTACCATGAAAATAAACAGACACGCAAAAAAGTGCAAAATACAGCATCAGACTGCTGTAACGTAAATAGCATAACAAAGTCCACATTGCAAACAGAAAAGTAATAGCCAAGGATAATTCAATACAAATTAATTACACACATTTTTCTACATCAAGATGTAAAGCTTTTAACTGCTCTGCCATTCACCAGTGAGACAGTGGGTGGCCTGTGTATAATGCTTTCTTCTTTGGCAGTACTGGCAAAGCTCTTCTTCCATACTCATGATACCTGATCCATTTTACAGCCTCCCATTTGGCCTGAAAGCAGCTGGGACAGGGATGTCCTTTGTTTATTATGCAGCAATGTGCAATCTTGGACACTGTGCAAAATAATAGCACAGATCTTGGTAAAAAATAATGAATCCTACAGTACCTGCTGCCAAAGCCAGGCAGTGCCAATTTCCACAGGAAACCTGCAGTATTGTCTGTTGGTTCAATTTCTTTATCAACCTAAAGACAATTACAGTATTTTAGAATAAGCATCCACAAATACAGTGTAACCTTATGTCAAAATTATTATTTCCATTCAGGTATTTGTTCTGCACAGACACATAACCTATGGTTTTGAGACTGAGGAATAGTCTTGAGGGTGACACAGATCCATACACAATAAATGCAAATCTGCAGAAACCTTTAGACACCATACACGGCTATGAAGCACAAAGGGTCCAGTCATCTTTAGTACAGTGATAAAATGAGACCCATCATCTGTGAACTGCTTTGGATGGAGAAGTTTCGGTGTCTGCCTCTGCCACCATCTACATGTCCTTGCACTTAGTGTTCTGACCCAGGTAGAATACATTAAATAAATATATGAAGAAAACTGAGCACCACCCTGAAGTTTCTGAGCATCATTCACTATACAGACCTAGAGTAGGCTGGTTTAGTAGCTTTACTGCTAACAGGCAACACTGCAAGAATTTCAGAGCTGAAGTGCCAGCTCACGTTGTCATACCTTTTCCCCTCCCCCCCAATCTTGAAATGTAGCTCCCATCTCAGAGGGACTTCCCAGGGACTGGAATAGAGATAGGTATCACACAGCATTTCTATTTTGGGGTCCTCCCTCTCTCTTTGCTCTGTACAAAAGATTTTTCATTGAGGAAGCCAAGCACATTCTAATTTTCTTTTCCATGCCCCAAGCACCCATGGGCAGAAGGCCCATACTTGAGGGCTTGTGTGAGTCCCCACAGGGCTCAAGAAGCACCAGTAAAATGCAGAAAAGGAGGAGGAATCGCCCTTACACCCCTACTTAAGAAATGCTCAATTACAGCCCCTCTGAGAGAAAGGAACGCTCCCACTGACTGCAGGCTGGAAGAGGAACAACCCTTGATCCACCACCTCCAGGAAGCTGCTTTAAGGAAACATGAATCTGTTAAGAATTTACCTTGGTACCATCACTGCATCTTCTACGGTGGTGAGGCCCAACTGCCCATCACTGCCGGCACCCCAGGAGAAGAGTTGGCCCTGGTCACTGAGTGCCACACTGTGAGACTCTCCGCAGGCCACATGCACGATGTGCTGCCCGGCCAGGGCTCCGATTTGCTCTGAGGAAACAGGAAACATCTCCAGTTACGGGATTAATTTCAGTGACACCAGGTCTGGGCAAATCTGTACACAAAGCCATTCAGATGGGTGCACCGATCCTCAGTTTGGTTTCAAAACACTTCCTTCAAGAGGACAGCACCAGATTTTACTGAGAACATGTACCTGCTGAGCTCTTCTGAAAGCCTAGTTTGCACATCATAGGAGAAAGGCAGGTACATTCCCCCGGTCTACACACAGCCAGCCTCGCAGAATCAGGGAAACCTATTGGGTTATTTATAAAACCTATGATTCTATTTAGAATCATGAAATCAGAGCGGTTTGGGTGGGAAGGAACCTTAAAGATCATCCAGTTCCAACCCCCAGACTTCCCATGTTTGAGGTTTTTTCAGTTTTGATGTGGGGACTGGCCAGGACCTAGAAGTTGGCAGACCCTGTAAAACATTTTTGACCTTCCACAGCTCCCATGTCCAACGAAGACAAGTCATCCACAAAGCTAATCAACCCATCCACCCCTTGCTTTACTGCTTCCTGCATGAAAGCATGTGTGTTACAACAACCCTGTACTGAATCTGGAACAGGTTTGAACCTTTAAACCTATTACTACCACTGTAATACACTCATTAAAAAGTCCCATAAAAAGCAAACAAAGGGAAGAGAGGGGAAAATCACTCCACCCTCTGAAAGATCACCCAAACTGAGTTTATATCATGTTGAACAACTGAAGTAAGTCTGACAACCACGTGTACCGAGTTTTTAGAAATGGACATGAAAGTCTTGGTTTTCAAAAAAAACACTGGAAATACCACACATCTGATAGAAAACTTCTCCACAAGACAAGCAGAAGTAAAGCTGGTTTAATTTTTACTTTCCTGAATAAATACAAATGTTCCACGTGGTAGAAGAAAAATTTCACCCACCCTGTAAGCTACAAGACAGTCATCAGTTTTACTAAGTCCCACTTGCCTGTGACATGAGAAGGAAGAGTAGTTACATGCCATTCTATGAAAATGATACCCCACATCAAGGGCATCCAGAAATCATTAACATGCTTAGCAGCAAAACCTGTATACCAATCAATCTAAATGTCCTAAATAAAAGGAGTCTGGGAGTCAGAAAATGAGAAGAATCCCTAATGGCTGTTATGGAAGAAAAAGGTAACAATTATTTAAATATGTATTCTAATAGAGGAAAATGCTACCCGAACATGTCATTTCACTCACAATAATTAATGCCAACAGAACCCACAAACATCTAGGAGGGCTTAAGGAATGGGCCTGCCTGCCATCTGGCCATCCTTTAGGCCTCCTACCATCCAATAATGCCTTTTGTCCTAAAGCTCTTTCCAGCAAGACTGATTTCACCCAGTCCCACTGGCAGCCCTGTGCAATGACACAGGTTTTGCGGGCGGTAATTCAATTTACACATGCAGTTTCCAGCCTTGGGCCCATAAGCATCCAACTGCAGCACTGCTAGGCAGCCTGGTTTTGTTCATTTGCATATATAATTGAGGGAGCCTATTTTTAACTGTGAGCTCTAAATAACCAGCAGCTGTATGGGCTGGTGAAGGTCAATCACAAACAACAGACGAGGTATCTCACCAGCACATGGCCGTAACCTCTTCCCCTCAGTCAGCCAGCAAGATAAAAAATACCCACTGCAATGTGCCTGACACATCACCTGAGTTCAGCCAAGTGTGCTTGTGTACTGAGACCTGAAGGTCTAAAATTAAACCTCCTGCTGGAGAGGAATAAAGGGATAAAGCCATCTTCATCTCCACAGGAAATCCCTTTGATTCATGAACCCATCACTTTGCTGTAAACTTGCTGACTGGGGTGCACTGAGACTGGCCACTATCCAGAGCGCGTGAGCTCTTAAAACTGGTCACAAGTTCACCGGCCTGCACATCTCCAAAAGCTGGTCCTTCCACGCTGCCGAACACTCCAGGGGACAGCACAAGTCTGACAAAATGACAAACATGGACAATACGGGAAGCTAGGGCATCCATAACAGAGACTGTGTTCTGCTACCTTCAGGCAATGACTGAGCTAATTTCTTCCCTGGGAAAGCATTATTTGCCACAAGTATACATGTCTCATTTGCTGTGGAAGGAGCTGCCCCTGAGCCATCTGACCACCAAAGGTCAGCATCAGGATCTGGAAGAGGCAGGACTCTGACCATAGCAATACTGCAACTGGAAGAACACCCTGCAGTATCAAGAGGCTGTGGCAAAGACTACATAGCAAGGACTTCACACACCAGAGCACAGAGAGGACATGTAACAGGTACAGAAATCCAGAGTGGTTGTTTCTGTCCCCACAGACTCCATCTTAAGTTTAATTTGGCAACAAAAACCTGACCTTGCTCTATGCCACTCCAGGGGACTAATAAATACCAACTTGTTTTGAAAGGCTGCCTGTGTTGCTGAAAGCCTTCAGTGACTGCACTGTTCACCCAAGAAGCGGAGTACAGCCTCACCTGAACTTGCTGGATGACCACAGACATAAAAAAACAAGCCTGTCTTGGAGATGAAGATCTTTGCCTTTAGAAATGTACACGTATGACCCATCTCACTGCAGGACATTCCTAAGACTATGTCAATTATAGCTTGCCTGCAAAGTCATGAAGAAATGTAAACACCAAACAGTGTAATCTTTACATGCTCACACATCTCTTTCCAGAGTGGGAAAAAAGCCAGCCTTCCCCTCAGGCACAGATTGTTCAGACAGTCCAACAAGAGTCCCAGTCCACTGTCAAGCTTGCCAAGCCACCGAATGTACCATCTCCCTGCTAACTTAAGTAGTATTATCAAAAACAGCTGACAGTGACTTCTTTGTTAACCCACCCCTTCCTCACATCAAAATATGAGGTGTTTTAGTACTTGGTATACATTTGTTTTAATTTCCAGAGCATCACAACAATATTATTCATTCCACAGAAAGGATGTATCACTGCACCAATATGAAGGGTACAAAGGGTGAAGTTTATTCTTAGTATTGTGTCTTCGGTAACTGATGAATAGAACCAGTCAAATGGAGCTTAACTGGCACAACTATATACAAAACTAAGCAGAACAAAACCCTGAAAGCAACAGGAAGGGGCTGAAGGAGTTATGCAATAGAATGTTTCAACATGTCGTAAAACTTTCAAAAACCGACCAAAACCCCAAGTTCCAAGAAGTACACATTGACCCAATCTGTTCTTTCTGGAGCCATCAGCTGTCTCAAAACAGCACTAATGCTCAGAAGTAATTTATCAGTTCTTTGTATCTGGTGGAGTTCAGTTTTCATTTCTCTCTTCTGTCCACTTTAACTCATGGATCTCAACACAAACAGACATATGAAGGTTTGACTTCTTTAGGTCTTAACCTTGTTAGATCTTTTCATAATATACACATTGGACCAAAGAATGAGGTCCAGGCAAAATGCTGTCAGGACACGCATACTCTGAATGGTGACAGAGCCTGGTTTCCTGGACTGCTCTTGTGCTTTTTTGCCTGTCTGTGCTTTGCAGGGACACTCCATCAACAAAGTTGAGGACAAGAGCTGTATGTTTCTGTAACTCAACTTTCTGACAGCTCATTTAGCCTCAAGGCTATGAAATGGCAGTAAAGCTGGGACAAGAATGAAAACCCCTGAAAAGCCCACCTTCAGTCCATAGTTTCACTGTTCATAAAAGAGAGCTTGTGCTTTGCCTCCTGCAGTGCTGGAAAGCCATACAAGATCCTCAGTATCTGCAACTGTTGGAAGCACAAAGCACTCACTTATACTGCGCTGATTAAAATGTACAGGCAATGAATGATTAATTAGCTCTCCTAGTAAATCTATCAGAGAGTTGGTACACCCTTTCTATGTACAGCTTCCAGCTGCTTGCAAGACAGGTTTTTGCTAGAGGATGTGGCAGAATCCTTCAGCCATATGTGTACTGGGACATACAAGAACAGCACCAGATGGCTTCTGCTGTCTGAAAATGATGTACAGAAACTATCAGCCCTGAGGTTTACACCTTAGGTGGCAGAATCTGGATTTCTCCACCAGTGAGAAGAAGCTGTGGCTTGGAAAAATTTCAAGTGATTTCAGTCTTACCTGGACACCTGGACAAAACCCAACCCAAGCATTCGCTCATCTTGATTACTGCTGTCTGCTGGGACTCTTATTTATAAGAGTCTTTCTAGCTTGCCCAGATAAGAAAGAAATAGTGGCTTAAACACAGGGGAGAAACAACCATGGGCAAGAATTCCCTTGGGTTAAATGCCAGCAGATGGCAAGTCTGAGGACAGATGAGCCAGTTTCTTTGCACTGCAATGCTTATTATTATAGTCCATATCTACGCTGAGATACATCATGCCTGAGATAAAACAACTTAATGCACAAGGCAGCTGGATGTGTAATGAGACATCAGTAGCAACCTAAACTTTACCCATATGGTCTTTCTGTTCTGAGTACTGAAAGCCTTGGAACAGGCAAGGATCCGAGTTCTCTCCTTTAAGAGATAAATTATATCAACACATTAAACCACCTAACAAGGTGACACTAATAGTCTTAGTGCTTATGGAAGCCTGATTCAAGAGTCAAAAATTCCATGAAAAACCTGCCACAACCTACAAGAAAATGAGAAAAACACTATGGCCCAGACTTACCAGTCACCAGCAATTCATTAAAGCACTTATAAAAAGCAAGCAATCAATAGTTGATCCCCAAACTCCCTGACAAGATTTTTATACGTTTAACAGGGAATTTCAGCTGTCTGCTGATTCCCCAGTCTCCACTGGCACATCCCAGAGATGTTTCTGCATATGGACATCCTGGCTGTATTTCTAGGCTGCGATGAGCTTCATGAATCCAATCCTAATGAAGTTAGCTGAGCGTTAAACATGTCTGAGGTTTAATGGAACTGGAAAGAGAAAAAGAGAAAAACTAAAGTACAGCAACTGAAACTCTGGCAACCCAAAGTGCATTAAGTACACCAAGACTCCTCCCTCCCCTTATGAAGGTTTCTCCTT